CGGGTGGTTCGGAGAACCAGTAGCAAAATCCCTGCCCCCCCCGTTGCCCAGCTGAGCCGCGCAATCATCAGAGGCTTTTTTTTTATTTTTAAAAGCATTTTTTCTACAACCTTTTCGTCTGAAGAGGTTATAGAAAAAATGCTTTTAAAAGTAAAAACAAAGCCTCTGCTGATCAGGCAAGTCAGCTAGGATTGTCAGAGGCTTAAAAAAAAAAAGAAAAAGCCTCTGCCGATCAGGCAAGTCAGCTAGGATTGTCAGAGGCTTAAAAAAAAGAAAAAGCCTCTGTGATCATCAGAGGCTTTAAAAGCATTTTTTAATCAACCTCTTCAGCTGAAGAGGTTGTAGAAAAATGGTTTTAAAAGTAAAAAAAAAAAATTGGCCATGCCCACTCAGTCATATTATTCCACCACCACCACCACCACCAAGCCAGGCCCACAGAACCGGTAGTAACAACATTTACATTTCACCAATGGTATAAAGTGACTGTTAGTCCTTATGCTTAATAGCTAATATTCAAAGTGGAAGACATCAAATGCTTACAATTAAAGTTGCCATTAATTTTGGCCAAATTATGTTGGGCTCTCAGTTCGATCAGTTGAAATATAACCCTTTCCCATGCTTAATTTGCAATTAAATAGGACCAATGCTATGACTTTATATAGCGATACAATAGCTTTTATTTTTTTCACATGATAGACAAAAATAAAGCATCTTAGGTTGTTCTCCATATGTTTTTTCCTAAACTAGGAAAAACTACATCTGTTAGACTTCTACCTGTAGTGAAATATTCACCTACCCAGCAAGCCAGAACTTCAACACATCAAAAACTGTGCTGAACCAAATTAAGTTTCGAAAGATTTATTGAGGAAGGGTAATTCCTTCATTTTGATTCTTCAATTCAGGATTGCGGCTGAAATATATACAAACTTTTTCTGATTTATAATGTGCTTTCAATTAATTTCAGACATCTGCATCCCATTAAATTAATCTTCATACTGCCAAGATGCAGCAGTTAAACATGGCACAATTACTGTGGGAAACCCATCTGCTAACCACAAACATGAAACATTTTGATGGGTTTTTTTAAATTGTGATACATTTATCTAAATTATAATTTATCTAACTAGGGCTCTGTCTTCTCAATATGGAGGGTAGTTATCTGAGCCAATAATTCACCCCTTAAACAGTTTCTTAATTTATTTTTCTCTTTAAACTTCTGCCATATGATGCCACTTACCTCTACCATAATGAGAGGTTTGTTTGTTTTTTTAAAAAAATGGATTTTTGATAAGCTATTATAGGTGACATGCTTTACTAAGTTTAGCACTAGAAGCAAATCACTCTGCAGACGTAACTATTCTTACCACCCCACCCCTATCATAGTTAATTTGCTTTGTCCTGAGGATCCCTGATATTCTTAAGCATTTTGGATATTTTCCATGAAAGGTTGTTGAGGATAGGAAGCTGCCTTGGACTGCTCTATACCAACCTTCCCCAATTTTGGTAAAAGGCAAATTTGTGGATTTTAGTTTTTACAATTCTCCGTAATGGCTATTCTGGGAGTTGAAGTCCACGGATGCCCAGGCTGCCAAGATAAAGGAAGACCAATATAAATTAACTGCTTTCTCTAGCTCAATGCTGTCTAAATTGACTGATTCAAAAGAAGTGTTTTTTGGGCCTGAAAGTTTTCTATTAGTTTTCTAGAAAGCTGTTAGGATTGATCCTGGAAACCTGGAGTGCTGGGTCACAGAAGAATTTCTTTTATACAAAGCTTGTGCTTCCGTGTGATAATTTCACAATCATTGCCTTGTGTAACTGCAGCAAACAATCTACTTTGTTTTGTATAGCTTAACCTCATCTTGATGGGGTTGAGAAGACAATCCTCTGCTGTCTTTAAAAATGAAAAATGAAACTCAGTATTTAAAGGCCAGTCCGGCTGAGGTTCAGTGTGAATGTTTCAAAGCTACTTTCTGTTATAGCCTTCTTGGTGCACCAAGGATACTCTGCACGCTCTGTTCTGCATGCTTTTCTTATACAGGTAGTCCTTGATTTACGACCACAATTGAACTCCAAGTTTCTGTTGCTAAGCAAATCATTAAATGATTTTGCCACATTTTACAACCTTTCCAGGGGTGGGTTCTAAAATTTTTTACTACCAGTTCTGTGGGCGTGACTTATTTTGTGGGCGTGGTTTGATGGTCATGTGACAATTCTTTAGGATTTAGCAGAGGTACTGATCTACCAGGCTTTTAACTGCTTGCAGAGCTGTACCAGTCTACCCTTTTGTTCTTGGAGCGTTCCGGTTTACTCATTTATTTTTGGAGGCACCAGTCTACCCATTTGTTTTTGGAGGCACCGATCTACCTATTTGTTTTTCGAGCGCACTGGTCTACCACCACACTGCCTTTTAACACTGATCAGCTGTAGGGCGGCCCTTTGAAGCCCTGCGGCAACAGTTTAAACAGTTTTTTTCCTTCTAGTCGATCAACTGGGACTCGAGAGGCAGCGAATAGATTGGGGGCAGGGCCAAATAAAAGTAAGAATAACGCGGGGGGTGGTGTCGGGAGGGCCCAGTTCCCAAACAAAGAGAACCAGTTCAGTGACATCATATCATCACTGCTATCAGCTCGGCCGAACCGGGAGGAACCCACCATTGAACCTTTCTTGCCATAGTTGTTAAATTAGTAACACAGCTGTAAAGTGAACCTGGCTTCCCCATTGGTTTTGCTTGTCAGAAGGTCACAAAAAGTGATCACATGACCACGGGGTACTGCAACCATCATAAATATGAGCCAATGGCCAGGCATCCAGATTTTGAACATGTGACCATGGGGATGTTGCAGTGGTTGTAAATGTGAAAAATGGTCATAAGTCACTTTTTTCCACTGACGTTGTAACTACGAATAGTCACTAAATGAAAAGTTGTAAATCAAAGACTACCTATATGCATCTTTAGATAAGAGTCAGCCCCACTAATTAATTAGACTTTTGAAATCTACACAGGGAAGTCTACCTAGTTAGAATAGTTCTCTTTTTTTAGTAAAGCTGCCAAAAACTCCACCCAACTTCCTTATTTAGCAAAACACCTGGGCTATGAATTCCTCAACTGGCTGTTTTACAAATATCTCTGTCACAACAGCTGTTTCGCAAGGGCGGGAATTGACACGGAAAAATAAGACAGTAGAAACTTTTATGCTTTTTACTATATACCGTGACATTGTTTACAGTAGTAATATACAACATAGGACGTGTCAGATTTCCTCCTAAGTCTCCCTCCTAGAAATTCCCTCTAGTTTTCCTGCTTCCTCTTCCTTTCTCTGCGTCACTTTTCATGAAGCAATTGGACAATCATTTCTCTGAAATGATACAGTGTTTCCTGCTCGAGCAGGGGGTTGGATTAGAAGACCTTCAAGACCTCCTTTCCAACTCTGTAATTTTGTTAGTCTCCTTCCTCAGTTTGTGGCCCTGACAGGAGAGAGAATGAAAAGAAACAGTGGGCTAGAATTTGCTGTAGTGAGCTCAGCATGCATTGACCTCTTCCGAACACCTTCTGCTGTCCATTGGGGGAAGAACCTTCTCAGAGTCAGCTACCCAGAGTCAGCTCAGAGTGTTTCTCTGAGACCATAGCTCCATGATGGCGAACCTATGGCACGTGGTGCCATATCTGTGGGCACGCAGGTGGCACATGGAGCCATATCTGTGGGCACGCGAACATTGCCCTAGCTCAGATCCAGCCTGCATTGTGTGCTGGCCAGCTGACTTTTGGGCCTTTCTGGAAGTCGGAAAACGGGCCATTTCTGGCCTCCAGAGGGCCTCCAGGGGAGTGGGGAAGGCCGTTTTTGCCCTCCTCAGGCTCCTAGAAAGCCTCTGGGGTCTGGGGAGGGCAAAAATGGGCCTATAGGACCCACTGGACCATCAAGTGCCAAAAGCGGGGTCGCACAGGGGTCGCACATGCATGCACAGGGGCAGGGCGCATTGGATTATGGGTGTGGGCACGTGCACGCTCGACCCCCCCATGCTCCCCCCTGCTTTTGGCACGCGATGGCAAAAAGGTCAGCCATCACTGCCATAGCTTATCCACCAACATCTACCCCTCTTGGCTCTTTGGTGAAGCCACTGCCTATGGCCAGTCAGGTCCCCCCTTCTTATTCTTGACATTGGGTGGAGTTTTCATCTCTTTGGGTCTTCACTTTCTGTCTTCCAGGGAAGCCACTCCTGCACTTTTCTTCTCTTCACAAGGAACTAACAACTACTGCACATTTATTTTTTTCTCTCCAGACCATCTCTCTAGCTACTCTGTGCCCCCCACACACAATGTTTCTCCCTCTCCTCTTCTCCTTCTTTCCTCTCTTCTCTCTCTCTAGTTTTTAGGTTACAGTAGTAGCATAATAATTGAGGAGGTGGAACCCCCCAGGGCTCTAGTACTGCCTATCTTTGCATCAGGCTGGACCAATGGGTTTCAACATCTCCCCACAACAGCCCTGGATAGCCCTGGACAAATTCCTATTCCATTGGAGGTCTCACGCTAGCAGAAGAGCAACCATGCCACAGCAGTAAAACCCATATGCCACAACAGGGGTGCTATTCAGCAGGTTCTGACGGGTTCTGGAGAACCGGTAGCAGAAATTTTGAATAGTTCAGAGAACCGGCAAATACCTCCTCTGGCTGGCCCCAGAGTGGGGTGGGAATGGAGATTTTGCAATATCCTTCCACCAGGAGTGGGATGGGAATGGAGATTTTTGCAGTATCCTTCCCCTGCCATACCCACCAAGCCATGCCCACCAAGCCATGCCCACAAAACCGGTAGTAAAAATTTTTGAATTCCACCACTGTGCCACACCCTCACTTTCAATTGTCGCTAGAGCTGTCACATGGTAGCTTCCGGCTTTTGTGTTATTTAACTTTAGATAAGACTTCAGGACAATGTATTTTATGAAACAGTGGAGAATGATTAAATAGTAATGTGGTTAATTGTTTATCTATCTTGATATGGTTTCCAGGCGGCCTGATGAACCTCCACTTGATAGAGGTCACATTCCTTGGCTTGGGCATGCACTGGCATTTGGTAAAGATGCTGCCAAGTTCCTCTCTAAGATGAAAGAGAAGCATGGTGATATTTTCACAGTGAGTATTTATAGGACTTAACATTCTCCAGGGTGCCACAGTTCACCTCCTGCAGGACACAGTGTTGATAGGCATTCATTGAATGCTACCTTGAAAATCTTGTAAACTTCCTGGAGTCCTTATACAGGTAGTCCTCAACTTACGATCACAACTGAGCCCAAAATTTATGTTGCTAAGTGATACATTTGCCCCATTTTATGACTTCTCTTGCCACATTTGTTAAGTGAATCATTGCAGTTGTTAAATTAATAACACGGTGGTTAAGTGAATCTGGCTTCCCCATTGACTTTGCTGATCAGAAGGTCGCAAAAGGGGATCACATGACCCCAGGACATTGCAACCGTCATAAATGTGAATCGGTTGTCAAGCATCCGAATGTAAATCACGTGTCAATGGGGATGCTGCAAAGATCAGAATCCGGAAGTGTCACGGCGTTACTGGCTGGGAAAATGTCGGGCTCCGACGAGCTCAGCAAAATCCAGCCAGATGAACCGTCACCAGGGGGTCTTCAGACCGAAGCTGTCCTGTAGGAACAGTGAAGAAAGAGAGGCAGCTCAGGGTCTAAAGAGGGACAGGCAAGTCCCATGGATAGCCCGAGAAACTCTCTCTGAGCCGGTGAGGGGGGCAGCGATCAGAGTGAATCGCCATGAAGCTGGAGCCTCTGGAGCAAGTCGACTATCTGTATAAAGGTAGGGTATAAACCTAATAAATGATTTAAATAAATAAAAGTGCAGCACTTCATTGATGGAGTTTTACATGGCACCCAGATGATGTCACTTTTGAGTTGCCAGCCATCTGAGTTATCCCACTGATGCTTCCATGTTCTTTCCCACTGAAATCTGCAAGAAGAAGGCAGCATAGTTGTGTCACTGCTAGTACTGCTGCCATCCATCTAGATGTGTTAAGGAGGTCAAGTGTCATTGGCCAGGGAAAGGAATTATTAGCAAATAGGGACGCTGTGGCTCAGTGGCTAAGACGCTGAGCTTGTCGATGGAAAGGTTGGCAGTTCAGCGGTTCGAATCCCTAGTGCTGCGTAATGGGGTGAGCCCCCATTACTTGTCCCAGCTTCTGCCAACCTAGCAGTTCGAAAGCACGTAAAAAATACAAGTAGAAAAATAGGCATCACCTTGGTGGGAAGGTAACAGCTTTCTGTGTCCCTTTGGCATTTAGTCGTGCCAGCCACCTGACCATGGAGATGTCTTCAGACAGCGCTGGCTCTTTGGCTTAGAAACGGAGATGAGCACCACCCCATAGAGTCGGGAACAACTAGCACATATGTGCGAGTTTTACCTTTAGGGATACCTTTACCTTTAGCACTTGCTCACCCTTGTAACTTAGGGAACCAGATGAAGCTGATGCAATGCTGTAAAATTCTCAAACTTACTGTTCTCCCACAATGCTTTGGTAATAGTCAAGCCCTTTGTGCTGCCATTTCGCTCCAAACACTTAATAACATATCAGCCTTTGGACTGAAGCATCCGCTAGCATTTTATGGGAATCTAATTTTGCCACCAAATGGTGAAAAGGGAAGATAAATCAAGGGATTGACTTGATTAAAAGGCAAAAAAAGGGACGGCTGCATCCTGTCCTGTTACATTTTAAAAATCATCATCTCTAGAAGATGACCTGCTAATCTTAACTGAAAGAGGATGTCTATTACAAAAGGAAGTTGCTTTGATTTTAGGTAGTCAAACACTCTTATTTAATGGCAGATGAAACCAGGAAAGGAACATTTTCAAAAAGAATAGTTCTTTAAATGACCTATTTATTTATGTATTTGCATAATTTCTACACTTCCCCTACAGGGGGAAAAAATTCCAGGGCAGTTTATCCAAAATTTAGAATACAATTCCAGTGGAAGAGAATACAGTTTTTCAATCATCTTCCAAAGCAAAAGCATAATAAAGGTAAAGGTTCCCCTTGCACATGTGTGCTAGTCGTTTCCGGATCTAGGGGGCGGTGCTCATCTCCATTTCTAAGCCGAAAAGCCAGCGCTGTCCAAAGGGTCATGTGGCCGGCATGACTAAACGCCAAAGGCACACAGAACGCTGTTACCTTCCCACCAAAGGTGGTCCCTATTTTTCTACTTGCATTTTTTACGTGTTTTCGAACTATAGATTGGCAGAAGATGGGACAAGTAACAGGAGCTCACTCCATTATGCGGCACTAGGGATTCGAACCACTGAACTGTCGACCTTCTGATCAACAAGCTCAGCCTCTTAGCCACTGAGCCACCGCATCCCACAAAAGCACAATATAGTCAGCCTATTCCCATATGCAGGGGCTTGCGACGATATCAGAATGATGAAGCATAAGACATAATGTACTGCAAGTCTCTCCCCTTTTAGATTATGTTAAAGAGCAGAATTTGGAGCAGGGGCCATGTTTGTTTGGTTGTTTGCCTTCCTTGCTCTCTTTCTATGGATGCCCATTAGCATTCTTGGGAAAAGAGATCAAAGAATTACACATATGATTATCATGTAATCAAGGTAAGGCATAAACACAATGATTACAATTAATAATAGAATGGAAAGGAACACTTGAGACATTTGTTGGGATTCTTTAGAATATTTATTTATTTATTATTACTCCAATTTATATGCCGCTCTTCTCCGTAGACTCAGGGCGGCTTACAATGCATTATAGCAATAGCCTGCATACTTTTATGTATATACCTGCTTATTAGGGCTTTCGGCCCCTACTAAGCGGAGTTGTTCTATACAAAGCTGGTTTATTGCCCCCACAATCCGGGTCCTCATTTAGTATTAGCTACCAGTGTTCCTCAAAATTTGTGAATATTTTAAATAGATAAGGATTCAAATAAAATAGAAGAAAGGAGACCTGATGGAATGTAGCCAGTTGATTTTGAATAAATCTCCATCTTTAATTCCAAGATATGAAACTTCTATTCATTCCTTAAACCCAGAGCAAAAACAAAATCAATTAAAACTGAGATGGGCGATACTTGATCCTGCAGGTGTTCCTGAATAACAGCTCTCAGCATTCCTCAGGAGTGGCACAATTTCTAGAAATCAAAGTTAATCCTTTTTTTAGATCATTATACGGTGCCAAAAATGTTAGTCAAATGTTTTTTACTAGGGACGAATTGTGTACTTAGTCATATGCAAACATGTATAAACGCTAAATTTGGAATATGAATTGAGTTTCAGTTGAAGAGTCTTTATATCTCTCTCTCTCCCTCCCTCCCTCCCTCCCTCCCTCCCTCCCTCTCTCCCTCTCTCTCTCTCTCTTTTCTTCTATAGTAATCCCTACTATCCATGTTTGGGGGAAGCGTCCTTTATTATTTTTTTATAATTAACTCAACGTGGTGAACATATATAACGGTCTTCCCTTCTCCTATTTTGCCCCCACCAACAACAACCCTATGAGGTGAGTTGAGCTGAGAGAGAATGACTGGCTCAGAGTCACCCAGACAGCTTAATTGATACCATTAAGGGCAGTGGTGGGTTCTAACCGGCTTTACTACTGGTTCTCTTTGTGCACGCGCTTCGCGTTGGGAATCTTGCTCCATGCAAGCACGTTGGGAATCTGCCCAGCTGAGGTGCGGCAATAATCCACTCTGCCGCACCTATCAGCTGGGTTAAAAAAGAAGAAATAAAAGGTAGGAATAATGCGGGGGCAGGCGGGAGGGCCCAGCTCCTGGAAAAAGAGAACCGGTTCAGTGATGTCATATCGTCACCGCTACCGGCTCAGCTGAACTGGGCCGAACCGGGAGGAACCCACCACTGATTAAGGGACATGACCTATTCCAAAATCTCTTGAATTATGAATCAATCATTTGATTGTTCTGATCGTTGTTCGTACAACGATTCTAAGGGCCTTCTTTATATGGAAATTTCATTATTGAGATTCAGGAACCATTTAAAATGTATCCTAGTATAAGCATATCCTCTAAAGTTGCCCTCCTTTTTAATATAATGCATTAGATGCTGTGATATGCAAACTCACAAGCACTACAAAGACCACCGTTTGATCCTCAAGGACAGTCAAGGCAGTCTCTTTAGCATACCCTCCAGATCTTGTTTCTAGCTCCACTCTTCAATTCTTGGGGGTTCACAAATTCTCCATCCTTGAAGCAGGGTCTGGTTTTGCATTGAGCAAAATGTTGGATTAGGAAGCTATTGAAAAATTTCATTCAAGACTTTGTCTAAACTGTAAGATCTCAATTCAGTCTTCAGATAAAGATTCCTAGGGGTTAGGGTTGGAAACAGGATATGATGAAATCTCTGTCTTTTTTTCAAAATTCATTGGTTTCTTTACATTGATGTACTAGATTAATTCTACATGACTAAATGTAAATTGTTTGTTTAAGGTTCAAGTTGCAGGAAAATTTGTAACCGTCTTATTGGATCCCCTTTCCTACGAAGTGGTTCTTTGGGAATCAACTGCCAAGCTGGACTTTGGCCAATATGCACGTATGTTAATGAAACGAATGTTTGATGTGACGCTCCCGAATTATGATTCTAATGAGGAAAAGGCCATGCTAAGACCGTAAGTGTAAATTTTATAGGGGAAGTACTTGCATCCAAGAAGGACATGATACTGTATGTTCTATGAATTAAGTATTTTGAACACTCATTTCAGGGAATTCAGCATATGAGGTAGCATCTTCTTTTAAATAGCATATTTAAATCTAAATATTTAAATAGCATATAAATCTAAAAAAAAAATATTGAAAAATTGTGAGTCAAGTGTTCATCTATAACATGTGTTGGAATGCATAAACCAGCCTTGTCCAGCCTTGTTAATAAAACCTTGATAAGGAATTATACATAGGAAATGTTTCTTCAGTTACATTACATTCTTCCTTCCAGTCAAAGGCATTATAAATCTTGAGATAGTAAACTTAAAAAGAACATCGCCTTTAAATTCTGATAATAGAAATATAAAAAATAATGTAATTTATGCTTAGGATATTTATCAATCCAAATGTACATTTTGTTTAGATCAACCAGCTCTATGCTATTCTGGAGTTATGTTGATTTTATACACAACTTTCCCAAATATACATTTTTCATTTGCAAATTTCTGAATATTCCACATTCTATATGGAACTGTCCCAAAGACTTACTTTTCTTAATTAACTTTTCCAGGAAAGGACAGATTTTCCAGCTAACTCCATTTGCTTCTACCACCCATCCTATACTGAAATTTGCTTATGGGAATCAGACTCTTTTTGGCAGATTTCTTTTACCACTATATCTAGGACTCCTAAGTTCCTCTTCCTGTGCCTTTCCCATGGCCCTGCTTGCATGGATTTTTAACACTACTGTCTTTGCTAGGCACTATCAGTGCTTACAAAGTATTATGGATTGCAGAAAATAACTCGGAGGCTGAATTCAGCCAATGGGCCACTGGTAAATCCCCATTGAAGAAATTATTTTAAACTGCAATCCTAAACATACTTGGGACTAAGTCCCATTGAGTTACAATGCAATGTCTGTTGCCCCAGTGGGGATTGCACCGAAATCTTTAATCATTTCTGCATAAGGCATGAATGTTCTCTTTTTCCAGGGATGCGGTGGCTCAGTGGCTAAGATGCTGAGCTTGTCGATGGAAAGGTAGGCAGTTCAGCGGTTTGAATCCCTAGTGCCGCATAATGGAGTGAGCTCCCATTACTTGTCCCAGCTTCTGCCAATCTAGCAGTTAGAAAGAACATAAAAAAATGCAAATAGAAAAATATGGACCATCTTTGGTGGTAAGGTAAGAGCGTTCTCTGCGCCTTTGGCATTTAGTCATACCGGCCACATGACCACGGAGATGTCTTCGGACAGCGCTGGCTCTTCGGCTTTGAAATGGAGATGAGCACTGCCCCCTAGAGTCGGGAACGACTAGCACATTTGTGCAAGGGGAACCTTTACCTTTAAGGTTTTTGTTGAGTCAGACTATCAGAAATTCACAGTGATGTCTAGCTAAGTTGCCAAGTTTTTAAGGTTTATTTAAGAAACCTCTATTTGAGGAATCCAAGTGGGAAGCAGACAGGAGTTTCACAAAGTACTCTTGTGTGTTTCCTTCTACAGAACTCTGAAGGACAAGAATCTTCACAGCCTGACTAAGGCCATGTGCCTTAACTTACAAACCGTTCTGCTTCCTGGACCTGATGGAGCCAGTGGGCAGTGGAAAGAGGAAGGCCTGTTTCACCTCTCCTACAGCACTATGTTCAGGTGGGTGTAATGTTACTAAGTCCTTTTTAAAAAAAGTTTTTAAAAATTGGGGTTCTTGGTACTCTGAGCTTGGTTGTTTCCTTGCAGACATAGCTGTTCTGACCTAGGCTTCCCCAAACCACGAAGCAGACTCCTTGTCCCAACAAAACCCCTTTTTATTAAGTCACTGTGAATTTCTCTCATTCACATCCAACAGAGTCTTTCAAGGGTGAATTTACAGTCACAGACCTTATCTGGCTTGGAGAGGTGCCAGGCCGATATCTTCAAAACACAAGGCTGTACTTGGCAAGGAGTCTTTGAGAGTCACGAACCAATTAAGCGAACTAATAAGAGCAAGGTGGCACAGCAGACTAAACTGCTGCTGTTAAAGTAACACTTAGCTGCCAGCTGCCTGCAATTATTGCGAGTGCAATTCTCACCAAGCTCAAGGTTGACTCAGCCTTCCATCCTTTCGAGGTAGGTAAAATGAGGACCCGGTTTGTGGGGGCAATAAGCTGACTTTGTATAAAATAGAACACTGCTTGGGGGGCGGGCCCAAAAAGCCCTACTAAGCAGGTATATACAAAAGTATGAAGGCTATTGCTTAATGCATTGTAAGCTGCCCTGAGTCTCCGGAGAAGGGTGGCATATAAATCAAACTAATAAATAAATAAATTGTCTCCTGCAAACTCCACTCCCCTTTTGCTCCTCTTTATTCCCTATGGAAGAGGCCATTCACCGTCCACCTGTGCCTTCACTCCCGAGTCGGCCCTTGTTCCTTAGTTATTCCCTTCTCCTGGCAGCTCTGCGCATGTGCACATCAGGAACAGGGTCCAGCTGTTCTTCTGCCCCACTGATATCCGACTCCAAAGGCAGCTGATAGCTGTCATACGGCCCTGACCCCATTTTTGCCTCTGATGCAGAGCCTTCCCCAGACTCCAGGACTGGCCCATGTTCCTCCCCAACCTCATCACTGTCTGAGTCTGCCACTAGCTCCGCTGGCTGCTGGCGGGCCACAACAGTAACTAAATAACATCATCAGTGCTCTACTGCAGCAGTGATACTGTTTCCTAGTGCAGCACTGATGAAGTTACCTAGTTTGGGTAATGAAACGTCTGCAAATAAAACTTAATATTTTTTTATTAAGTTTCATTATAAGATAAAAGTGCATCTGAACAAAAGTTAGAAAAGTAGAAAAAAGAAAGAAAAGTGCAACAAGAGAAAAAAGATAATGATTTCTGATTTTCTTTGGTGCAGTAGATTACAAAAATAATACAATCTTTTACTTTACATTTGACAAGATTTCAAGCCGTTTCTATAATCACAAAATCATTCCAATCACCAAAGCTAAAACCAAAGTTCCAATTTTTTTTTCAGATTTGAGTAAAAAGTTCAGAAGTGGTTTCCAAATAGAAACAAAGCCAGACAAATACTTTTCTTTAATTAAAACAATGAATGTTTCTGCTAACTCCATCACCTTTACCATCCATTCTTCCATTGTGGGAATTAGTGTGTTTTTCCATCCTTGTTTATATTAGATTTTTGCTGCTGTCAACACATACAGTAACAAAGTTTTGAATTTTCATTCAAATTCCTTATCCATCAAACCTAAAAGGAAAAATTCTGGTTTCATTATTTATATTTATTTTACGATAAATATGCCAATATGCTTTATCATAAATTCATCAGAGATGATAAAAAAATACCCTTTTTACAGTTGCATTTCCAACATACATTTGAAACTCTCCTACACATTTTTTGACAACTTCTCGAGTGTTAAAAACTAATAAGACACATTTGTACCTCCTGAAGAAGTTTCCAAGGAGGTCTGCTTGGGTTCAACACGAAGAGTTGAGAGGGCCTCCAACAGGACCTTCAGTGAGGGAACTTAAGGCCAATGTCTCAGCCTTTTTGCTCTTGTTTCCTTTTCCTGCTCCTCTGTTCTATTGCAGGTAGTCCTCAACTTACAACAGTTCATTTAGTGACCATTCGAAGTTACAAGGGCGCTGAAAAAAGTGACTTATGACTGTTTTTCACACTTACATTGTAACCATTGCAGCATCCCCAAGATCATGTGATAAAAATTCGGACGCTTGGCAACTGGTTCATATTTATGACAGTTGCAGTGTCCCAAGATCATGTGATTCCCTTTTGTGACCTTCTGACAAGCAAAGTCAATGGCGGAGCCAAATCCACTCAGCAACTGTGTCACTGACTTAACAACTGCAGCGATTCACTTAACCGTGGTGGCGCAGTGGTCAGAGTACAGTACTGCAGGTTACTTCTGCTGCCTGCTGGCTGCCTGCAATTTGGCAATTCAAATTTCACCATGCTCAAAGTTGACTCAGCCTTCCATCCTTCCAAGGTGGGTAAAATGAGGACCCAGATTATTGGGGGCAATATGCTGACTCTGTAAACCACTTAGAGAGGGCTGTAAAGGACTGTAAAGCAGTATATACTGTACTTTTCGGAGTATAAGACACACTTCCCCTCCCTAAAAGAGGGTGGAAATGTTGGTGCGTCTTATACACCAAATACAGCCATTTTTGGCCTCCCGAAACCTCACCCTGTGCAGCCTGTTTTCACCAAAAACAGGCCCATTTTTTGCGAAAACAGGATGTGCAGAGGGTTTGGGAGGCCTGCAGAGTGCTCCTGGAGGCTGGAGAGGGCAAAAATGTGACACGTGGGGGATTTGGGAGGCTAAAAATGGGGGTGTTTTTTGCAAAAATGGGGCGTTTTTGCCCTCCCCAGCCCCCAGGAGCACTCTGCAGGCCTTCTAAACCCTCTGTGTGCCCCATTTTTGCAAAAAAACGGGCCCATTTTTGGCCTCCCAAAACCTTCCCGTGTCGGGCCTGTTTTTCACAAAAACAGGGAGTGCAGAGGGTTTGGGAGGCTTGGAGGCTAGGGAGGGCAAAAACTTTTTTTTTCTTGTTTACCTCTTCGAAATCTTGGTGTGTCTTATACTCTTATTGTCCGAAAAATAAGTCTTCTATTGCTATTGCTAACAACTGTGGCAAGAAAGGTCATAAAATGGGGCAAAATTCATTTGACAACTTAAGTTTAGCAACAGAAACGTTGTGCTCAATTGTGGTCGTAAGTCGAGGAGTACCTGTTCCTGTTCTCCTCTCCGAGTTAAACAACAGAGTAGTGCCAGAAGAAAAAGAAACATGGCACAGCTCCCACTTGCTTTGCTGGCTGTCTCAATGTCTGTACGTGATCAAAGCATAAAAACAAAGAAACCGGCAAAAGCAGAACAAGATAGGTAGTTCCAATGAGCTCGTTTGGCTCTCCTGGTATCTGGAAGAGGTTCTGCACTTTTTCATTAAACAAAGAAATTGAAATTGAGTGCTCTTTCTTATAGTCAAGATTTCAATGATCTGCTCTCACACAATGGAGCTACCAAGCTGCAGAATGTTGATAAAAAATGTTTATTGAATGGCTGCATATGAATGAACTTTATGCAACATGCATAGGAAATGTCATGAAAAAGCAACATACAAATTTCAGCTGAACATTTTAGGCACGTAGGGGATCAAAAAACAGCCATGATCACATTTCAGAATGTAGGATCCAGTTTCCATACACAATCCAATTTCGTGTCCAAAACGTACTGTAGATCACATTGTAAACTACTAAGACATGTGCTCAGTTATGGCTTTTAGAATGAGAGAAAATTATTCTTCTCTTTCTGATTAATTTCCTAAAGATCTTCCAAGTACTGCTGTCTTGTATATAAGGATTAGAAGGGAGCTTGGAGATCATCGAGTCCAATTCTCTGCCCAGTATAGAAATTCATTATTCCAAAATACCCCACAGTTGGCCAATCTTTAAGATTTCCAGCTAAGGAGTATCCATTATCTCCCGAAGCTTTCTTTTTCCTTTGTTGAAAATTTTTTATTGTTAGGAAAATACTTTGCAGTTGAGACCTATCATATTTTTCAGAGTATAAGATGCACCGGAGTATAAGATGCACCTTAGTTTTTGGGGAGGAAAATAAGAAAAAAGCTGATTGGCAGGTGGATTGGGCTCCCGGAATATCCCAATCAGCTGTTCTCAGAGGTGAATTTTAGCAACAGGTTCCTTGGTTGTGAGCTCTGTGCCTTGCTTCTTTTTGCTTTTTTTTCTGCCTCTGAAACGTCTGAAATTCTGTTTCAGAAAAAAAAAAATTTCTGCCTCTGAAAGTCTCCAAAACAGCTTCAGAAAAAAAGCCTCTGAAGCAGTGGTGGGTTTCTCCCGGTTCGGCCGAACCGGTAGCGGTGATGAACCGGTTCTCTTTGTCTGGGAGCTGGGCCCTCCCGCCCCCGCATTATTCCTACCTTTATTTCTTCTTTTTTAGCCCAGCTGATAGGTGCGGCAGAGTGGATTGCCACACTTCAGCTGGGCAGATACCTAACGCGTGGCGATCGCTCGCAAAGCGTGTGCACGAAGAGAACCGGTAGTAAAGCCGGTTGGAACCCACCAGTGCTCTGAAGCTCTTTTTGGGGGATTCTTTTCTGAAGCTCTGTTTGGGGGCTTTTTTTTTCTGAAGCTCTGTTTGGGGGATTCTTTTTTCTGAAGCTCTGTTTGGGGGATTCTTTTTTGAAACTTCCTTTCTGATGCTATTTTCAGCCTCTGAAATCTCCGTTTGAGAAGCTGGGCAGGGCTACATTCAGAGTATAAGACACACCCAGATTTTCACCCTCTTTCTTTGGGGGAAAAGGTGTGTTTTATATTCCAAAAAATACAGTAAATAGATCTAAGATCATTCCAAGTTTCCTGGTACCTTATCATATTGTTTGTTTTTCTATGGACACGTGCTGTGGTATATTAACATAGATAGCTTTTTTTGTTTTAATGTTTTATGTTTTAACCGATGCTTTATAGTTTTTAAAATTATCCTCTGGTAAAGTTACCCTGTGGTAAAACGGGCGGTCAATAAATTTGACAGACAGATAGATAGACAGACAGACAGACAAGCAGACAGACAGTTTTATAGTTTTTAAAATAAATGTATATGTCTCTTAATTTTTGATTGGGTGCTGGCTAGAGTTGTTTGAAGATGGGTGACTATATAAATGTTTAACTTAAATTAAATAAATGCTCCAGTTTGTCAATGCCCTTGCTAAAATATAGTGCCCAATACAAGACACAATATTATGTATATGGTCTGATCACTGCTGATGTTCTGCCCCAGCTACAGACCCCAAAGAACGCAGCACACACAAAGTCTGTACAAACCTTAGTTTACTAAATTAACTCAGTCTTTTTCAAACGAAGGCTGTTAATTAACTTTCTTAACAGCCTACAAGAACCCAAAGAATAAATAATCGTAATCTTACTATGATTGGCAGAAAGCCCAGAAGCAATTTGCAGGAAACTGATAAGAGAACTAAGATCAAGACACAACGGAGAGTGAACGAAGTTGTTCCCTGCAAATTGCCTTAGTGGTCATCCTTCCTTAAATAGGCTAAGGGAGTGGCCAATTAGCCCCAAGCCTTACTCTCGAGGAGACCTCCTCCTGAGGAACCACTCCTGCCTTTTGGCAGCTCTGCACACCTGTGCATCGAGAAGAGGCTCCTCGTCTTCCTCTTCTGGGAGCTTCTGGAGGTTCTGAAGGCCCTGGCTGAATCCCTGCCTCTGGCACCACATCTTCTCCAGCCTCCTCATTGTCTGACTCGAGTGCCAACTGCACAGGCTGCTGGCCCAGCACCACACCAGCCTCCTCGCTGTCGGAATCAGCTACTAGCTGCACAGGCCGCTGATGGGCCACAACAGCTGAATAGAGCAGTGTACCACCAGAATACCCAGAACTTTTTTTGCAAGTACTGCTAATCATACTGGATACCATACTATCATATACTGTTTCCCAGGGATGGTATTCACTTCCCTTCGCTACTGGTTCACAAATGTGAGCGCGTGCCCATCGTACATGTGCAGAGCGTCAACAACGGGACGTGATGATGTCCCAGTGGGTGGGTGGAGCCTCCCACAGCCGCCGCTACCGGTTCACACAAACTGGATAGAACCGGATGAATACCACCACTGCTGTTTCCTATCTAAATGAAAAACTCTGTATTTATCTTGAAATTCATTTTTCTGCTTCGTAGCTATTATTCTAGCTCTATTTCACAATTTTTAGATAATTGTTTTAATCACTTCCCTTCCTAACCCTGCAGAGCTGGATTCTTGACATTGTATGGAAATGAAAGCAAGAATTATGAAGATGTTAACTGTCAAGCTAAAGATCGAGCTCATTCGATGGAAGTTTATAATGTATATTATAAATTAGACCGATTTTTGATGAAAGCTGCCCGGTCAACTTTAAGTGGAGGTAAGTGTCATTGGTAAAAGAAATATCACTTTTAAAATGTCAATACTTTGAAACCTAAGACTAAAGTGAATTCTTAGAATCAAAACAAGAGCTACACTACATATCTGCAGTGTGTTTGCTCTTCTTATTTAAATGTAACTATAATTTAATTAAATGTAATATTTAGATTAGAGTGGTATGTGCAGCAAAAAAATATTAATAGCTAATTATGAGCAAGTGCTAATTAATAATTAGAGATTTGGAAACCAGGAGACTGTACATTCTAGTCCCATTTTAGGCATGAAAGCCATTCAGTAACCTAGGGCAAATCATTCTCTCTCTCAATACAAGCCATCTCACAGGGTTAAGTTATTCATAAAAATAATAAAGGTAGGATAAAAAAAATAAATAATTATTTTTTAAATAATGTCTCGATAGATTAACAACAATAATGTGTCGGCAGATTGACAGATTGTTCCTAGTTCACTTCAGAAGATGTATCTGATCTAGATAATTGTAGTCTCCAAAAACATACGTTATATAGAAATATATGTAATGGAAAGTTAAGTGATGTGATCATTTTGAGATCTATTTCAAAGGATAAAGGGTTTTTTTTTTGCTACAGATTATTGATTTTTCAGTGGGACACATCTGCCTTTGGAAGCACATGGTGTTAATCCATTCAAACCTCACCCCACATGTTCAAAATTCAGTTGGGATCCATGATATATATAAGTAGATAGTTGAGATGGGTGGGTGGGTGGGTGGGTGGGCGGGTAGGTAGGTAGGTAGATGACAGACAGAAGGATAGGTAGGTAGGTAGACATAGGATAGGTAGGTATATAGGTAGATGACAGACAGAAGGATAGGTAGGTAGGTAGGTAGATGCAGACAGAAGGATAGGTAGGTAGGTAGGTAGATGACATAGGTAGGTAGGTAGATGACAGTCGGATACAGTAGGTATGACAGATGAAGGATACCTAGGTAGGTAGGTAGGTAGATCAGAAGGATAGGTAGGTAGGTAGGTAGATGACCAGAATAGGTAGTAGGTAAATCAGACAGAATTTAGGTAGGTAGGTAGGTAGGTAGATCAGACAGAAGGATAGGAGGTAGGTAAATGACAGAAGGATAGGTAGGTAGGTAGATGACAGACAGAAGGATAGGTAGGTAGGTAGATGACAGACAGAAGGATAGGTAGGTAGGTAGGTAGGTAGGTAGGTAGATGACAGACAGAAGGATAGGTAGGTAGGTAAATGACAGACAGAAGGATAGGTAGGTAGGTAGGTAGGTAGGTAGATGACAGACAGAAGGATAGGTAGGTAGGTAGGTAGATGACGGATAGGATAGGTAGGTAGGTAGGTAGATGACAGACAGAAGGATAGGTAGGTAGGTAAATGACAGACAGAAGATAGGTAGGTAGGTAGGTAGGTAGGTAGGTAGATGACAGACAGAAGGATAGGTAGGTAGGTAGATGACAGACAGAAGGATAGGTAGGTAGGTAGGTAGATGACGGACAGAAGGATAGGTAGGTAGGTAGGTAGATGACAGACAGAAGGATAGGTAGGTAGGTAAATGACAGACAGAAGGATAGGTAGGTAGGTAGGTAGGTAGATGACAGACAGAAGGATAGGTAGGTAGTAGGTAGATGACAGACAGAAGGATAGGTAGGTAGGTAAATGACAGACAGAAGGATAGGTAGGTAGGTAGGTAGGTAGATGACAGACAGAAGAATAGGTAGGTAGGTAGGTAGATGACGGACAGAAGGATAGGTAGGTAGGTAGGTAGATGACAGACAGAAGGATAAGTAGGTAGGTAAATGACAGACAGAAGGATAGGTTAGGTAGGTAGGTAGGTAGATGACAGACAGAAGGATAGGTAGGTAGTAGATGACGGACAGAAGGATAGGTAGGTAGGTAAAATGACAGACAGAAGGATAAGTAGGTAGGTAAATGACAGACAGAAGGATAGATAGATAGATAGATAGATAGATAGATAGATAGATAGATAGATAGATAGATAGATAGATAGAATAGAGCTTCCATGTTTAAATTCATGTCTATATTTACACTATACCTAGTATTTTAATAGGAATATTGTAGCTGCTTCTTCTCTATTAAAGGGGTTTTCCCAAGAACAAAACAAGCAAAAAAAACAACAACTATAAAACTACTGAGTAAATATGATTAATTAATAGAATAAATGCAACCTTATAAAAGAGGTAATGGTAGTAATCTTATTATTGTTGGTGAAGCTTTTTCTTCCTGAAAGAGTAGTAAACAACTACATCATTTAAATGGCACTATTGGGAAAAGGGAATTTACAAGAGGAAATTTACAAACAGTAGATGGCGCCATTGTGCAACCTTTTAGATCCTTTTCATTACAGGCAGTTGGAATGGATAGGTCCATCCAGCTTTCCTCCTCTTGCAGGATGAGATAATAGGATAATTTTATAACGATTCTGTCAGTGTTTTCAGTCCAAGCTTACAAAACAAGCAGAGCTCTCTTTCTTGCCAGTGTTTAAATTAGTAAAAGTGTTTCAAAGGAAAAAAAAATACTTGTAAGTAGGATATTATGCTTTTCAAATCGTGATGTACCCTTTCATCATCAACTTGAACTCTCTTGCATCTATCATCACGTTCCGATAAAATAAACATCTTAAAATGATTGCTGTCATTGACAGCTGCAGAAATGACTCAAATGCAGAACCTCATGTATTATGGCTTGCCACCATTTCTCCTGCATGGTGATCCTTTGAAGGTCCTCTGAGCTATACAGGTCTGGACCTGCACCTATAATTGGCTAAGACCTGCAATTTGTTTCACCCTTAAAACTGAAAAATACCTAATGAAAACTAGAACATAAACTACAGAATAGAGGTCTAGTGTAGTCTTTAGTTAATACATATACCTTGTTCGATAACAGAGTGTTATCAGAGTATACTGTTCGAAAAGCTGAGATTGACCCTCTTGAGGCTAGTATGATTGAGGCTGAATTCCTATACCTCTAATTTCTGAGGAGTTGAAATTACTTCTGAGTAGATATGCCTCGATGAGAGCCACATTGATGAAGCATCAGGCTAGAAACTAGGAGATGGGAAATTCTAGTCCTGCTTTAGGCACAAAACTGAAATTTTTTTACTACTGGTTCTGTGAGCGTGGCTTGGTGAGCATGGTGTGGCTTGGTGGGTGTGGCAGGGGAAGGATATTGCAAAATCTCCATTCCCACCCCACTCCAGAGGAAGGATACTGCAAAATCCCCATTCCTTCCCCACTCCTGGGGGAAGGATATTGCAAAATCTCACCCCACTCTGGGGCCAGCCAGAGGTGGTATTTGCCGGTTCTCCGAACTACTCAAAATTTCTGCTACCGGTTCTCCAGAACCTGTCAGAACCTGCTGAATTTCACCCCTGCACAAAACCAACTGTCAGTCCCTCTGTCTCAGCTCTAGCAAGTAAGCAATGACAAATCTTGCCAAGAAAACTGAAGGGACTTGTCCACCATCCAGGCAATCTCTCTCTCTCACACACACACAGAGAAGGGGGGGGGCGGAGAGGAAGGAAAAGGAAAAGAAAAAAGAAAAAAAAAGAAAATCCATAGATTGCATTATTTAGAGGAAATAGATAATGTACAATGAAATCATGCATAAATGTCTATCAATTTATGCTTCCCATAGCAATTTACCTGGGGAGTACAGCTTATAGAGAGTGAAGAAATAAACTCGTGTATGCACCAATTCTGTTAATGAATGTCTGTAAGAGACTCTGTAGATGCCACTATACCTCCTACCTGTGGTCCCAGGTTGATAAGCAACAGCACCTGCCTCACTAATCACATACAGCTTGCCTCCATCCCTCCCTTTTCTCTCTTTCTTCCTCTGACTTCTTGATCTCTGAAGAGAGAGAGAGAAGAGGCTTTTTCAGCCTGATACCTACTAGATGTAAAGGGTGTGCAAGTAATGAAGGTACACAAGACCTGAAAATAAATACATCCTGAGTGATCTGAGCTAAAAACTCAAACATAATGTTTGGCTTTGAGGATCGAATTCTTGCTCACCCGTGAAATTCATGTGGTAGCATGATGGAAAGCTACTTTCATTTATTTATTATCCCTCTTCAGTAAGAACCCCAAAGGCCCCTGCCAGAAGAAAGAGAGAGAATAGGGAAAATAGTAGTATATAAATTAATAGATAATACAATTTATGATAACTAGAAATAAGTTAAGCTTAGTAGATGGAAATTTAGGATTAGGTAATTTAATTGTATTATTAACATTAATAGTGTGTTAAAGTATATTGTGAATTTAAAATATTAAGGATTAGAAATTGTGGGGATTTTGAGATACACTCCCAGGATTGATTAAATATTGTTACTATTTGGCTTTATTAGTAATCCTACACATTTGGAATATTGAAGTTATGGTGGAATAATGAGTAATTCTTAAAATATTAAATATTAATAATTTAGTAGGGGATAACAAATACATAGGGCAAAGAAATGTTATCTATGTTTAAATGAATTAATGGGAAAAATGATAAAGAATTATGAAGAGAAAATAGTATTGTTGAAATTGGAAGATTAGGATTACACATACTTATTTGTATATTATTGTTAGCATTGTTTAAAAAAGATTTGACCCAGTCAATACACTGTCCACAAAATATATATGGTGTGAAAAGAAAATTGCAAATAAAACATGTTTGAGAGAGAGAGAGAGAGATTATAAATTTATTTTCATAAAATATGTAATAAAAGTTGAGAACATCTCTACTTTACATGGTTGTTTTCAGGATAAAATAAGATAGGCCTTCTGATTTTATTGGAGGAAGGCCCCAATAATCACCACCTATCATCCATATTTATATCTTTGGTACTTCTCTGTATAGTGGAAAAACAGAAATTTTACAACACCAGGAAGGATCTCTGGAATTTATTTTCTATGGAAAGGCTGGACAGCCGAGCAAACCGAAGTGTTTGGTTGAACATCTATAAGGAACACTTGGTAGACCTTGGTGTGAATGAAGATATGCAAACTAGAGCCATGGTACTGCAACTCTGGAGTACTCAGGTAAACATGCAATTTTACTTCCTGCATTTCATCCTCTTTATGGTTTCTCAATCTTAAGTTCCATCCTCTTACACGAACTATTTATACGCAAAGGGTAGAGTTTAGAAAAACATACCCATGGCCCAGAATCAATTGAAAAATATAAATATTGTATGTTAATATCAGCCTTCCATCATGGACCACTTGTTCCTTATTGACACTAATGGCAGGACATAATGTCTATGGAGTTTCTCTCAAAGGTGCTTTTTTCAAAAGGCAGCTGGACTTTTCTTGTTTTTTTTCCTCCTTGAAAATGTGTCACTCCTCATCTAAGAAGCTTCTTCAAACTGGATGAAAAACGAAAAGTTTTCAAGGAAAAAACCCAACAAAAGCCCAGTTGCCTTTTGAAAAAAGCACCTTTGGAGCAGGAAAGAATGTACTCTTATCTCTGCCAGCTGGAGATCTTTAGTGGTGTTCTGGAAGGAATAAAAGAATCGTCAAAAGGAGAAAGTGGATGAGGCCTCGCTGTATATCTGGGTTCTGACCTAGGCTCCCTTAACAAGCAGGAGGCAGGAATTGGTCCTGATAAAACCTCTTTTATTTACACGACTGTGAATTACGTTCATTCACAGTCAGCAATGTTTGTCCAAACAGTTTCTCAAAGGAATATTTCTCAACACACCTTATCTCATTTGGCAAGCTGCCACGTAACTTTGTTTCCAACCGCAGTACAAGGCAAAACTTGGCACAGCATCTCTCAGAGTCACGGAACGAACGAATTGTTTCCTGCAAAAGCCCATTCCCTGTTTGCTCCTCTTTTATTTCCTGTGGGAGGGGACAATCACCTCCAAGGTGTGGCTTTACTCCTGAGTCGACACTGCTTTCTGAGTTGTTCTTGTCTTCTGGCAGCTCTGCGCATGCGCACACTGGGAACAGGCTCCAGCTGTTCCTCTGCCTTGCTGCTGTCTAACTCCCTCTCTGCCTCCGACGCAGAGCCCTCATCCGAGCTTTCCCCAGCCCCCAGGACTGGCCAAAGTTCCTCCCAAACCTCCTCACTGTCCAACTCTGCTGCCAGCTCTGCTGGCCACCGGTGGGCCACAACATTGGGAAAAGGTGCATGAGAATGAGCGGGAAGCTTGATGGTCTTGAGGGGCAAAATGGTTCCTCATTTATTGGTGATCATTGATGACAAATACCCTGATTTTTTTTTTTGAAAAAAATAACCCCCATGTGTATACTACTCGAAATACTATTAATGTTTGTGTCGTGTCAGTCTTCAATTGGGATAATCAATACTAGGCCTGCCAACATCTCCAATAGTGGACTTCGTGTTTACATCTTCCTTTGATGTGTTCAAGTTGGGAAAGAGTTCCCCGTATGGAAAATCTATCCATCTGCATGTAGATGATTGGAATTGGATTTACGTGATTAAAAGTAGTGACCCCTAAAAAAAAAATAGAGGATTGATTTTTTTCCCCCTTGATCCCTTTAGAATTATTTTCCTTTGACTGCCACAAGGTACATAAGTAAACTCAGAAAATATGCGAGTTTCTATAGCAATAATTGCATTTTTTTTTTGTTCCAATGTTTGGTTTCAAACAGTCAGCCCACTCCTATTTTCTACCTTCAGTTTTAAAAACATTGAACACGGCAGACTGTAATGAGAGATGCTCTAATTCAATGTTTTTCAAACTTGGCAATTTTAAGATATGAAGACTTCAACTCCTAGAATTCTCTAGCCAGCAAACTGACTGGGAATTCTGTGAGTTGAAGTCCACGCATCTTAAAGTTGCCAAGTTTGAAAACCCCTGCTGTAATTCATGTAAAACAGGCTGGGAAGGCTGCTTTTTAACCCATGTCTCATCTAGAAAAGAGACCTGCATGCTGCAGAAGACAACGTTGAAACAAAGCAGAGATAGATCAGATCTAATTCTCTGAACAGGAGGTATAGTTGAAAGAGAGGCTGCAGTGTAGAGACAGGGTATGTACAGTAAATTGGATGTACAGGATGTTGGCTTATTTCCCCATTAGGAAGAAAGATTGAAAATAAAATCATTATAATAATGTTAATAGTATAAGAGCCTTGGTAGTACAGTGGTCTAAAGCACCCTGTTATTAAGACCAGCTGCCTGCAATTACTGCAAGTTCGAATCTCGCCAGGCTCAAGGTTGACTCAGCCTTCCATCCTTTCTAAGGTAGGTAAATTGAGGACCCAGTTGTGGGGGCAATAAGCTGACTTTGTATAAATATACAAAAGGATGAAGGCTACTGCTTAGCGCATTATAAGCCGCCCTGAGTCTCCGGAGAAGGGCACATATAAATCAATTTTTTAAAAAAAAGTATTATAATCATAATGGAAGAGAAGTCATTTATCAAAAGTAGAGTACCGTTACATATAAAACTTCTCAGTTGCAGTTCTTTACGTCTTTATGACTCTGGTTAGAAAAGTTATTGAGTAGCTAACAGGAGAGAAACCCTTGCATGAAATCTTAAAGGAGTGGTTAAAAATATGGAGCTAAATGGATAAGTACTCTGATATTTTATAAGATGGCTCATATTTTTTTTATAGTGACAAATGTGAATTTTACTCCCAGGAACCCCTTGAACCTGCATACCAAGGGCGCACACAATACTTCAGTGGCTAGACCTCTTTTTTGGCACACCTAAAAATAATAAAAAGTACTGTGTTTGCCATCTCAGTGTTTTTTAAAAGGACAGGTGAGATTTCTGAGTCAAATATGAAAGATCTGTTTCTTGTTCTTTAGCACAGGGGTCTCCAACCTTGGCAACTTTACGACTTGTGGACTTCAATTCCCAGAATTCCTCAGCCAGCGCATGCAATATAATTGGAAGCCCTGATCTAAAGTATTTGATTTCCTGTCCCTCTCATAATAATTATCCCGACTTGTGTTAGCAAATCTGCTCCCCAAGACACTCCAAGCTTCAGTTCTTATACATTGAAAAGAGACAATAAGAATTTTTAGAATGCAGCTTTCAAGGCAGCAAGAGAGACTCCCCCCCCCATCCTACAACATGAATAGATCCATTTGGTCACCACGTTTAATAATTAAAAGCCCGGATGCACTTTGATTCTCTCGCCTCCACCCCACTTTTAATGGCTGCACTTTAATTAAAAGAACAGCCATCCTTCTAAAAAAAAAAACAAAAAAAAAAACGCAAGCAAGAATAAAATCTTGCATCTCACCCTTCCAAAATCAGCATGTATTATTTATTCTTTGCACTTCTCTCTATTGGATTTGATGTACTCTTGATGTACTTGCAATCAACAATAGTGCTGTATTGCATTTCACTTCATCATCTCAATTTTAATAAGCAAGCAGAGAACAATAGGAAGTGCTGGGGCTTCCTGTTTTCTGTTTCTCAGATTCTGAAATAAGAGCATTCCCGTGAGATGCAGTGGTGGGAAAGAATGGCCGTGGTTAGGGAATATCGAGTTGTTCCCAAGAACCAAGTCTCCATATTGCACTGCTTAAAGCTGGCTAGCCAGCTTGCTTCCTTGTTTGTTTGTTTGTTTGTTTGTTTATTTATTTACACTTACCACCTGACTCCAATCTGTTGGTTTGTTTATTAAATTTCTATGCTGCCATCTTCCCTATAAGGTAACTCTTTGATGGCCCATAACATAAAAACAAAATTTAAAAATACTGTGTTGTTCAGAGTATAAGACGCACCTTTTTCTCCCCTAAAGGGGGTGAAAATTTAGGTGCGTCTTATACACCGAATGTAACCCCGCCCACCCACTGGCCTCCACCCGTTGGCCTCTGCCTCCCAGCAGTTACCTCCTTGTGAGGAAACAGCAAGAAAAAACAGCTCCTTTCAGCTTCAGCACAGGCTAATTAGCACAAGTTGATTGGATCGACCTCCTGACTCTCAGCTGACTTGCCCTCAGCTGTTTTGCACAGGGCTCTGCTGCTTGCTGCAAAGAGGTAAATTACTGGAGCAGATTTTTTTTCCCCTTGTGCTAATCAAGCTATGCTGAAAACGAAAATGAAAGTAAAGCAGGCTGTTTGCTGCAACAAGGCAAAATTGCTCAGAGGCAGAGACAGAAGGAGATTTCTTTTTCTTCTTTTCCTCACCAAAAAAGGTAGGTGCGTCTTATACTCCGGTGCGTCTTATACTCCGAAAAATATGGTAAATAAGCAAAAAGCATATAACAATACCAATAACAAAATGGCTAACCCAAACAATGAAACAAACATGTCATAGACCAGAAGGGACTTTAACCATCTTCCTGCTTGTCTCATTTTCATCTGAACTAAGAAAAGATTTTATGCACATAAGGATGACCAATATTATAAAAAGACCTCTAAACAACATACATGAACAAGGTGACATAGGTCACCTTTAGAATGCTATTGAATGCCTAGGAGATGGAACTAAATGGATAAGATTGAAAAGTGATACAAATTGAAAATCAAATACTTTGGGCTCTGCTATTTTACCATCATTCTTTAGGGGGAAAAATGGCAAGATACAGAATTTGAAAAGAACACGAAAACCAAATGCAGCTCTTTGGAATAATGACTCTAACAGTAGAGATATCTTCATGAAATCTGCAGATTTTAATAGCTACACAGGTTTATAATGGGAGAGGCATACTCAGCTTTGCCCTTGGCATGGTGATAGACTATCCAAGAAGTTCCTTTTTTTACTTTTCTTAATTGTGGCCACTAGAAGTATCTCAGAACCACATGAAAGGTGTTAGTGTCCAAAATGAGCTGTCATATCTCTTTTTTAAGTTACCAGGGGAAATATAACAGCAGTCTCAGTAATGAAGAATAGTAGGAATACAGGTTCCTAGAAAAAATGGACATTAGGAATATTCTGAGTTTTTATATAACCTGGGGGTTCATGAGGGCTACCACACAACTGCTGTTTAGCCCAGTTTATTAATGAATTGGAGCAGGGGTGGGTTCTAGTTACCTTTACTACTGGTTTGTAATAGGATCGCGCACACGTGCTCGCTTCGCATGCGCAGATCGCCGATGACGACATCCGGGGCAGTGGGCAGGGCCTCCTGCCAGTTTTACTACCAGTTCTTGCAAACCAGTCCGAACCAGGGGCAACCCATCACTGGATTGTGGAGGTGTCACAAATGCAAAATTCTCAAGAAGAGCACTTCAGTTATTATGCCAGTTTCCAGCCCAAAACATCTGTATATTTTTTTCCTAAGTGCTAGGAATATAAATCATTTCAAAACTATAAAACATTTCAAAAATAACCCAGGAGAAAAAACAAAGGCCACTAGATCTCTCCTTGATTTAGCTAGTGAACAGTTTGCAAGCAATCCAGGTTATTATGTTCAGATTTCCCCAGCATTTCTCCTCCTAGTAGATGCCTCCAAGCTTCAAAGGCTACCTTTGCAGTCCTGATCCTGGATAGTATAGTGCTGTTCTAATGGGTTTAATTTTCTTGAGAAATAAAGCTCTATGTTTTTGCTGCATCTTATAGCAAAATGTCTTACTGCAAAAATCAGAAGTACTAGTGTCCATTATAAAATGGCCAAGTAGGATCAGGATATTGCAGGATGGGCTGAGTAGAAAAAGACCTCCTTTAGCTTTTTTTAAAGTTTCCAGACTAGGGTTTTTCATCTAAATATTTTAAGACCAGTAGGTTAAAATTTGTTGTTAAAGTGCAGTGATAATTTGCAAAGCCCTTTAATCTCTGTATAAATCTTAGCTCTCCCTCAAATCATGGGGAGTACTGGGATTCCTGAAAAGGGAGAGGTTGCATGGGCATAATCTGATCCAAGATCTCAGACATACCCTTCTTACAAGTGGCAGCCCGGATTTCAGATGGTTCAACCTCCCTGTGGTAGGTCATGACACTGGAGAATCCCAAGAAATCAGAATATGATCCAACCATGACAAAGGAGGTAGCACAAGCTCCCGCCATTTTGGATCATATTGCCACTGCTCTGACAGGAACATCAAATCTAGAATGTGACCATTGTCCTGAGTCAGACTTTGGATCAGTGGTGGGTTGTCCCTAGTTCGGACCTGTTCGCAAGAACCAGTAGTAAAACCGGCGGGAGGCTCCTCCCACCGACCCCAATGTCATCAGGAAGCTTCTGCACATCCGCAGAAGCGAGAGAGAGAGAGCAAAGCAAGCACGTGCGCGGCCCCGTTGCGAACCAGTAATAAAGGTAAATACAACCCACCCCTGCTCTGGATGGTCTGGGATAGGCCCAAGGCTGTCATGGAAGCTATGAACTTCAAAGCCACTCAGACGCCATTCTCAGGGAAGGGAGATTAACCTTAGAGTCGTAAATCTGGGGACCTCCACGTCCAACCTGAATGAATGGAATCAAACAGCTCAGGCAGGGAAGTTACTATGCAGCATGGAAGTTGATACAACAGCAATGATCCCAAATGATCCTTAGAGCCTAACTTAATGAACTGAGTCTCACAACCAGGGATCTGTGAGGCACAGCTCCTGAAGTCATAAGAGATTCCCTGATAACGATTGTCATAAATCTTCCCGTACCCCAGAGTTTCGGTTGATACCACATTGAAATACAGCTGGGCAAATTTCAGAAAGGAAAACCCCCATTGCAGAACCCAGCCAAGCCTTGGTAATACAATGCTGGTTTGCTAAATGTCTATGGAGATTCTCCATTCTCACTTTGGGTCGTGGTTGTCCCAAAGATGCTTTTTTCAAGAGGCAACTGGACTTTCTGGGACCAAAAAATCCAGTTGCCTCTTGAAAAAGCATCTTTGGGACAATGCTGGTTCGCCCTCTCATCCATAATTTAACTGTGGATGAGAAAAGCCTTATTACAGACTGAGCTGGCATTCAGTAGCAGCAACTGAAGGCCAGGTTGAGAATATGGTTAAATGAGTACATTAAGGTATTATGAAATTCGTTAGATTTCTAAAGCAGCTATTAGTTTGTGTGTATAGTATCGCTAATACTGTGGAAGGCTTAGGGTTATTTCTCAGCTTTTCAAGGCAGTCCTTCTAAGGCCACCCTGTTGTTCATTTATTAAACTGCTAATGTGGAACTTTCTTATTGAAGGTGAAACAGACCCTGTTGATTTTAACCAAAAGGATATTTAAATTGGATCAGATTTTGTTGCTTTGTGATAAAGTTCTATATGTGTTCTCTGGCATTAAATTCTGTCTGATTCCTTTGTTGTTTCTTTTTTAGAGTAATGCTGGCCCAGCAGTTTTTTGGCTTCTCCTGTTTCTTTTAAAACATCCTCCAGTCATGGCAGCAATTCAAGCTGAAATGGAAAAACTATTTAGAAACAGACGATTAGCAACCAGGCCAATTTGTGAGATAATCAACCAAGATGTTTTGGATAGCACACCCATTTTTGGTTAGTAACATGTCATTCATCTAGCCCTAAGCAATTTAATTCCTTAAGTGTCAGTTAAATATTTACCACTGTCATCACTGGATCTGGGAAAGCTTCTTACACCATCCTATCTGTCTCTTTGATTTTCTTTACTTAAAGCATAGCGAATATCAGATTTTCCCTTTAGCTGTCTCCATGTTGTATCCAGTCTTTTTATCTTGGTAAACATGTGGAAATGATCACCGAGAGGAAGGCAGCAGTATGTGCCTAAGGTGCCATGTCTTTCAAATTCAGGGTTGGCAAAGTTTGAGAGAAAATCCCAAAAACATCCAGTGACATCCAAGATGACCTTGAAATGAGAACTGTCTTGGGCAGGAAAAGCACCCCTACATAGGATATAATGGAATTATTTATGGAAGCCATTATTGTAGACTTCGTTTATATTACAGTGGGGGACTAACTTTCCATTTGGTTCACAGCCAGTCAAGTTAACCAGTCTGATCATTGTCTCTGTTTCCCTTGCTGTATAACCCCAACAATCTTTTCAGTAGCCAATGTTTAACAAAAAAATATAAGTATTCTCTTATCCTGTTTGTAGCTATTCCTGCACCCTTAATAGTGGCTGTTAACCATGAATTAGCTATTAATTCAGGTGTGGAGAACTCCAGACGAGGGTTATAAATTGAGCTAATCAACAATAAGCCAAAGTTGCAGATATTGATTAAAGAGAAATATTTTACGGTAACTATAATCTGGTCTATTGAGGATTGGGCTGCATGGCCAATTGGAGTTTATGCATATGATTGTAGGATGGCATATACTTAATCAGCAACCAATGTATTGCAGTGTCAAAAGCTGTATCTCAGGTTAAATGGAAATGTTCAGTATGTTCCATCTAACTTTCAAGGTCTTCTACTACCACTGTGCCCTCTTTCTCACATTTCATCTCATCCCTAGTCTGAGATTTGCAAAAAGTACTTTCAAAATGTTGTAAGGGGACCTCTGAAAAGACATAGCAACCTTTCAGTAGAGGACAGAATTGTAATTTTAAATCATGACATTTAACTCTCAGATTCGTACAATTTCTTTGCCCCAGTCACGTCTCCTTTAAGAAAATGCAGATGATCTATATTTAGAACTGCTATTAAAACTAGCAGTAAAGCATTTTAATTGTAGTCTTCGTGCTAAAGATCAGCATATGCCTCGCAAAAACCCCTTTATAAATACAAAAAGAAATCGCCAATAATCCTATTAAAATCAAAGGCTAAAGTAAGTTCCATGTTGTCAGCATCTTAATACAGTATTAGTCTCAGCCATAGGTATATAGAAAAATGTGTTACCTCTCATACAAAATACATATAATCACATAACATCACATGGTGAAGGTAACTGTTTCAACACAACTGAACTGTATGATTGGAAACTGCCTTTTCTCCATGGGAACATTCCCAACACAAAAAATAGATGAATGGGTAAAAGAAATTGTAGCATTATCTTTGCCCTCTGCTGATTTGCTTTGTATAGAAAGTTTTTTTCTCTCCCTCTGTTCATTCTTGAATAGAATAGAATAGAATAGAATAGAATAGAATAGAATAGAATAGAATAGAATTCTTTATTGGCCAAGTGTGATTGGACACACAAGGAATTTGTCTTTGGTGCATCTGCTCTCAGTGTACATAAAGAAAAAATAAAATATATTCGTCAAAAATCATCAGATACAACACTTAGTGATAGTCATAGGTTACTAATAAGCAATCAAGTCATACTAGGAAACAATAAAAACAATATAAATTGTAAAGATACAAGCAACATGGATATAGCCATAAGTGGGAAGAGATAGGTACTAGTAAGGATGAGAAGAAGAATAGTAATACAGTCTTAGTAGTCTTAGTAGTTAAGACTTAGTAGTATATTACTTAACGCGTTGTAAGCCACCCTGAGTCTCCGGAGAAGGGCGGCATATAAATTAAAGCAAAAAAAAAATAAATAAAAAATTTGACAGTGTTGTGGGAATTAGCAGAGTGATAGCAGAGTGATAGCATTCAGGAAAAAACTGTCCTTGTGTCTTGTTCTGGTGTGCAGAGCCCTATAGCGTCGTTGTGAGGGTAGAAGTTGAAACCATTTTTGATACTGCAGTATCACAAACAGTGGTGGGTTGCCCTCGGTTCGCACCGGTTCTATAGAACCGGTAGTAAAACCGGTGGAAGGCTCCACTCACCAACCCCAATGTTACCAAAACGCTTCTGCGCATGTGCAGAAGAGGGCGCATGCGCGCGAGTGAAGCCAGCGGGCGCGCGGCCCCGCTGCGAACCGGTAGTAAAGGTAAGTAGAACCCACCCCTGATCACTAAGATTACATTGCTTCCAGATCTATGGTCCGATTACACTCTGGGTATTACATATAAGAAATGTATAAAACAAGTATGAACACTTCTGCATATCATGCAAAGTTTTTCAACTGTACTTGAATAAATTACAGTTGACAAAGTTTCCATGATGTTCTAAGCCACCAGAAAAGAAAAGGGAAAAAAACCTCCACAGACAATAAACTGGATGCAGTATGCAAACACTATTTATTATTAGATTTTTTTTCATCCTGCCTTTATTATTTTTATAAATAAGGCAACAAACATATCTACTACTGCTTCCTCCTCCTATTTTCCCCCAAAACAACAACCCTGTGAGGTAAGTTGGCTGAGAGAGAAGTCACTCAGCTGGCTTTCGTGTCTAAGGCAAGATTAGCCTGTAGTAAGAAGCAGCAATCTAACAGAATTATATTCTGGCAGGTTTTCTTAGGGCCCCAATGTTAGGACAAGAGTTCCTATTATACTTTCTTTATTGCTGGTCTTGTTTCTAAAGGATTTGGCATGATGGGAGTTCGGGTGGCAATTGCGGTGCTGTAAATTGAGCTATGGTTTCTTCCCTGCACACTGATATCATGACAGCCTATCCACACCTTTGCTCCTGGGCTATTTTGGGTGCCATAATTTTCCTTGTGGGTTTTCTGTTTTCTACAGACAGTGCTTTAAATGAAAGCCTGCGTTTGTCAGCCGCTCCTTTTATCAGCCGAGAGGTCCTTCAGGACATGGCCCTGAGACTGGCATCTGGCAGAGAGTACCACCTGAGGAAAGGAGATAGGCTTTGCCTCTTCCCGTTCATAAGCCCTCAGAGGGACCCTGAAATCTATGAGGAGCCAGAGGTAAAACAGTGCTATTCTGAATCCCGTTTCCCCTGATGACTTTGCTCTGATGTTTGTTTATGCTATGTAGCTTAACTAACTGTATTGAGCGAAGAACTGTGATTATTCTCAGTGCACAGCATTCTTAAGACTTGCCAAAATTACAGGGAATGACATAATGGCAAATCACCTGAGGGAAGAGCTACATGTAGACATTGTGTAAGTCAGGTTATGAAGCTAGAAGGCTGTGATCCCAGGAAGAGATCCCAGGAAGAGATCTGGCAGGCTTATCTTATAATTACCAGCGGGCAGATTTTCTCCCTTCATTTGCGGTAGAGCAGGGCTGTCAAACTCACGGCCTGCGGGTCGGATGCATCACGCGCTGGCCATGCCCATGCCTGGTATAGCAAAGGGGGGGGAAGTCCCAATACGTCACATGACGCCACCGTGTCGCCGTGAGTTTGACAGCCCTGTGGTAGAGCCTTAAAGATCTGGAATGGGACGAGTCACAGCAGCCAGGTGGATGTGGATGAGTGGGTGCAGCTGGATGAGTCTTACTTTGTCAGCATGGCTAGGTAACAGTAACAGAGTTGGAGGGGACTTTGGAGGTCATCTAGTCCAACTCCCTGCTCATGCAGGAGACCTGTACTAGGGATTCGAACCGCCAAACTGGCAACCTTTCTGATCCACCCAGTCATGCCCATCTACCCACACCAACCCATCCACACCAACCTGGCTGTTGTGAGCCGTCCTAGATCAGGGGTGTCAAACTCGCATTGTCACATTGTTATCACATGATGTATCACAACTTTTTCCCCCTTCACTAAAATGGGTGGGCGTGGCCAGCATATGACGCATCTGGCCCACAGGCTGCCAGTTTGACACCCCTATCCTAGACCCTTAAATATCTATTCTTGGGGGAATTTCTGGAAATGTCACTGCTAAAGACTTCTAATGATACAGCTGTGTTAAACACAGTGAGTTCAGTACCCAGGTAATCTTCGACTTATGACCACAATTGGGACAGGAATTTCAGTTGCTGAGAAATGTGGGTTATTAAGTGAGTCATCACGTGACCCAACCCAATTTTATAAACATTTTTACTGTGGTCTTTAAATAAATCATAATGGTTGGTCAGTGTATCACAGGGCTGTTAAGTAAACGATGCAGTGGTTAAGCAAACCCAGCTTCCCCAACTGACTGTGCTTGTGGCTGCAGGATGCGATCACAAGATGCAACTGACGTACACTAAATGTGAGCCAAATGTGAGCAGGTGCCCAAATTGCGATCATGAGGGTGGGACAATGGTTGTAACTTCAAGGATGGGTTGTAAGTCATTTTTTCCAAGGATATCTCCGTGCTCTCGTTAAACAAACAGCCAAATGTATAAACAGAGGGATAGAATCAAGATCACATGAAGTGTTAATACCACTTTATAATGCCTTGATAAGGCTACACTTGGAATATTGCATTTAGCTTTGGTTGCCACGATGTAAAAAAGATGTGGAGACTCTAGAAAGAGTGCAGAGAAGAGCAACAAAGATGATTAGGGGACTGGAGAACGGTCCCCTAATGAAGAACGGTTACAGGAACTGGTTATGTCTAGTTTGATGAAGAGAAGGACTAGGGGAGACATGGTAGCAGTGTTCCAATATCTCAGGGGTTGCCACAAAGAAGAGGGAGTCAAACTATTCTTCAAAGCACCTGAGGGTAGAACAAGAAGCAATGGGTGGAAACTAATCAAGGAGAGAAGCAATTTAGAACTAAGGAGAAATTTTCTGACAGAACAGTTAATAAGTGGAACAACTTGCCTGCAGAAGTTGTGAATGCTCCAACACTGGAAATTTTTAAGAAGATGTTGGATAACCATTTGTTTGAAGTGGTGTAGGGTTTTCTGCCTGGGCAGGGGGTTGGACTAGAAGACCTCCAAGGTCCCTTCCAACTCTGTTATTCTATTCTATTCTATTCTATTCTAAAATGTCAAGGACTAACTGTAAAGTTGTCAAAAAAATAAATTAGTTTCATATTTGGAGTAGAAAAAAAAAAATCAGCCCACCAATGCATCAGTCTTGGGTTCTCTCCCTGCACTGAACGTGTAAACTGATTGCATCAAGAAAGGAATGCAGACCTTCTGTGGGTAACATTAAGATTCGTGATGGTTCTTTCATATCAGCTCAATTTTTTTTTTTCTCATAAGATCGGCTCTCAAGAGTTTTCCCAGGAACAAAAATAGTTTGGATCCATATTTATGATATAAAAATATGATGATATAATAATAGTTAAGGATGTAAAAACCTATCTTGGAATTCCTGTTTGGCTGTTGCTATGGCAACCTATTGCACATCTTTAAAAATATATCAGTATCTTCCCCAGTTCAGTGTTCCTAACTTGCTTCTCTTTTACTTCACCTTGTTAATTTTTTTCTTTGTTGACAGAGAGTCACACTGGAACCTGCTTCCTTTTATGAATAATTTCCCAGGAACAATGCTGAGAAAACCATGATAGTATTATAACCCAAGTCCAAAATAAACAGTAAATCCTGTGGTTTTCCCCCCCTGGGACTGGGAAAAAAGAATCTAAATATAAAAATTCTGATTACTATCACACTTGAAGGAAGATTAAGATCACAATACAATAATTCCCACAAATATTCTACTACACATCAACACAAAGGTGATCTGTGGGAGGAAAACTCTTTTATCTATTCTTCCTTCTTCTTCAGCGTAGAGGGAAAAGGTTTGCCTCTCTGTTGAAGGCAAAGTAATGCATAGTTGTTCATTTAGGGAATTGCTGTTCCTTTTACCAGCATAACAAATTATTTTCACAATGTTCAGCAAGGCTTTATAACTAAATTTACTTTGGAGTGGAGCAGTATCCAGAGTGAAGATTATTTTTAAGTAATTGCAATCTTCTGTGTGTTGTTGTTTTTTTTTAAATTAAAGTATAAGGATCTAGTATGTTGAAGTTTCATTTCCTTCTCTATCAAATTGGAGCTCTCGTTCCTATTTAGGAGTTATGGAGGATAAAAATAATAAGCACAGGATAAAAAAAAAGCTAAAATAAAATTGAAAAATCTAAAATAATACCTTATAGACTTTATCTTATGTAACTACTTCCATTTCTTTTGCCATGTTTTGCAAACAGTAAATATTTTTGATTGCTTCAAGACCTTATTATACTTAACAGGTAGACATTCATGGGATTGAAGTTAATTAGGCTTAGTTTATACCAATTTCAATGGGCCTGCTTTGGATGTGTCATATAGCCATTTCCTCTCCCATTTATTCTAGTTTAAACTTCTGGATGGAATTTTATACAGCTAAATATCTCAAGTAAGATGTTTTTTAAAAAAATATTGGTTATTTCAAATGAAAAGAAACATTTATCTAAACTTGTTTTTCAGAAGTTCATATATGACCGGTTTCTCAATTCAGATGGCACAGAAAAAAAAGACTTCTATAAAGGAGGACAAAGGCTCAAATATTACAATATGCCATGGGGAGCAGGAATAAATGTCTGCATTGGAAAGTTCTTTGCAGTTAATAGCATCAAACTGTAAGTGAATGCATAACACTGATAAAATACCCATCTCTAAGCATAGTATCATTTAAAGAAAGCCAGGGTTGGCTTGTAGCAGAAGCCAACCTCGTAAAGGCAAAACAAAACGAACAGAAATGTTCATTTGATTTGGTTTCATGGTGTGAATATGGATGTTCGGACCCCAGAGGGCCTCCGGAGCCTGGGGAGGCCGTTTTCTCCTCCCGGAGGCTCAAGGAAAGCCTCTGGAGCCCATGGAGGGCAAAAATGCCCCCAGCGCCATGGTGCAGGAGGCTGACTAGGCCACGCTCACCATGGCCATGCCCACCCAGCAACTGGGCAGAGAACCCCTTGCTAAAATTTTTGAAGCCCATCCCTGGATTGAATCCATTTTTAGAACTCTTGATGAAGTCTTCATCTGTTACTCAGATGATACTCCATCTGAGATTACTCCATCTATTTGTTCCAGAGTCACTGTTCATAACCACTCAGAGTAACTTCTCATGAAATGGGCACATAAATAAAATTTACATCTTGTGATCCATCAGACTGAAAGGAGACAAGATGAATGTCAACCACAAGTTCTGTTTTACATGCATGTCTGGTATTACTTTGCAATTCAAAGCAGGAAGCAGACATTAGTTTCCTTATATACCCCAGAATAGATTACTATTCACTGTTAATTAGTAATAGCCTGTCCTCAGTTTGGTAGTTGGTCTGTTGTTCAATTTTGCCTTAGCAAAATTTCAAGGATTCATTTACTGATCCATTTAGAGAGCTTACTGCTGATTGCCTACAAATATCTCAGCCCATACATACTGAGGATTTGTTGTGCCTGCTTTTGTGGGTCTGAAGTGACTGTAAGCCATAGTTTGTAAAAAAAAAAAGTTTCTCTGGATCTTACTGCTGGGTAAATTTGTTAAGAATCACACCTCTGGCCGCCAGTGTCTTTTAGAAATATCCAATAAAGCCACACATTATTCTGAGCAAAGCTGCATAAGATCAGCTGCATAAGTTACGTTTAATAGGATAAAGACTCAAAGTGCAAATTTGCATGCTGTACAGCCTAGTTTTACAATTGTAATATTCGTTTAAATATCCCTTCTTTTTTGGTTGAGGCTAGGTGTTTCTACTTCTTGATATTAAATGCAAAGTCAATATCATTGGCTATACTGATTTGTTTTTGTTTCCTCCTATTTACAGATGTGTTTTCCACCTCTTAAACTGTTTTGATTTGGAACTGATAGATCCTGCTAAGGAGATACCAGGCTTTGACACGGAGAGATATGGTTTTGGAATGCTGCAGCCAGAAACGGATGTCAGAATACGATATAAATTGAAAGACCAGTAAAGTGATGGTCCATTTCTCCAGTCATTCTGTCATTCTGTCTAGTGCATAATCTGCAAACAAACAATGCTTGTTACCGTGTTTCCCAGAAAATAAGACCCTGTCTTAAATTTTTTTGAACCCTGAAATAAGCGCTTGGTCTTATTGCCATGCGCTCAAAAGCCCAATTGGGCTTATTATCAGGGGATGTCTTATTTTGGGGAAAACAGGGTAGTTACCATTGGAATTAATTTTAGGGCTCCATTACTAAAATGGTAATGATTTGATGGCAAATAAGCCGCGGTTGCGCAGTGGTTAGAGTGCAGTACTGCAGGATACTTCTGCTGATCACCAGCTGCCAGCAGTTTGGCAGATCGAATCTCACCAGGCTCAAGGTTGACTCAGCCTTCCATCCTTCCGAGGTCGGTAAAATGAGGACCCATATTGTTGGGGGCAATATGCTGACTCTGTAAACCACTTAGAGAGGGTTTACATAAAGCACTATGAAGTCTAAGTGCTATTGCTATTGCTAAATGTCTAATATTAGACCACATTCTGCCTTTCAATTTCCTGAAACTCTTCTCCCCTTGTAAAAGTGGCTTCAGTTTTTCTACCTCATTCTCAGGATGTTTCAGAAGTCATGAAGAAATTTGTTGTAATATAAGCTATTGTGGGTGAGGCTGCTACTTTTTCAGTTTGACCTCTCTCCATCACTCTGTAGCCTCTCAGGCTTACAATGACTTCTCATCTGAAAAAAGCCCCCTTGTGAAAAACAAGAGGTGTGTATGTGTGTGTGTGTGTAGATTGTAGGACGAATACTTTACAATGAATTACAAGAATACTTCATTTCTCGTTGGGTACAATCATAATGGAATTAATGCAAAACACCACATTCCTTTTATATGGATTTTAACTGAAATTCCTTTCTGTGTTAAAAAAGAAAAGAAAAGAAAAGGCAGAAGCACTTGTTATAATCAGTTTGAATTCAGAAAAATATTCTGGTCCAGCGCTTCATCGGTCTTTTTCAACTATGGTCGTCCAGACATGGTGGCTGGGAATTCTGAAAATTGTAGTTAAATGCAGCTGGAAAACATCATGTTAGAGAAGCTGATTTATGTTTATCTATGAAAGTGCAATTTATGCTATTCTGCAAGTTGCTGATATTTTTGATCATATCTTTGCAAACCAGTATTTCTGGGAGGGGGGGAGAGAAGGGGAGATGTTGATGCAAATAGACCATTTCAAATAATACACGTGTGCATAATCCATTTAGATTGGCCTTTCTGTGATTAGGAAGCCAACTAAATTCTGAGTGAATAATAAATATGAATAAAAATAATTTATTGGATTGAAAAGTAACTAAACTATTAACTTACCCTTCTATTCTTAGATTCTTCAAGAAAGATTTTTAAAAAACAATCCAAAAAACCCTGTTATAATATAGAAAGAAGCAGATAGTAACTAGTAACTACATCAAGAACAGTGTATGTGTGTGTTTACATTCATGTATGCGTGTGTATGAGAAACACACATACATTCCCCTGGCTACAAGGGAATCAGTGATGTCAAAATGGCAGACATAATGGCCATATGCACTCCAGACAGATAAAGGGGGCAAGGGTCCTACCCCTTGGTTGCACCTCCCATTTTGATCATGTTTATCTCCGCAGCAAACATAGCTATATAGCCCTGGTGTTGTTAATTTGTGGCTATCCAGGCTTTCCTACGGTTTGCCATGCTAGCTTGCTACTGTTAAGAACAGTATTCCAAAAACATCTGGAGGGCTATAGCTTCCCTGCCCCAAAACAATATTGCACACCCAACATCATCACAAAGCCACCTACTGAAAACAGTGTGTTTTTGAGTCAATATAAATAGTAGATAAAAAAAGCAAAACCACAGACCGCTTTTCTGTACCGCAGCATTAAAATGCTGTTATTCAGCCCAGGGACTAGCTTAAGGTATGTCAGCTTAAAGAAATGTTGACCGCACTTTACCTACATCTATTCTGCCCTGACAACAAAGCAGAATTGGGGTGTCTGTCCACACAAGAAGCTGTGGGGAGAAGTGGCATAGAGAATACCTCCTTTAATGTTACATGTAATAACAGCGGCTAGAATTACGTATGCACAAAATTGGAAAAATGTGTATGTGTGTGTTTGTGCTTCAATCTTCAGCTTTAACTTTAGAATTACAATTAATCCCTACTTATTTGCAAACACACTTTATTGAGCATCAATAGAATTATGCTGCACTTTATAAGTTTAAATAAGACTGTTTTAACTATAAACTATAAGAGTAATTAGACTGCATTTCATGCTATACTAGGGTTAGTTTATGGCTTATTGAACAACAAAGTGACCTAGTTCATACATGACAGCCATTTTGGTGTCTGTTTGGTTAAAGATACTGGGCTAGAAACCCAGTTCTAGGCCTGTTTTAGGATGACTCTGGGCCAGTCCATTTCCTTCAGACCAGTGGTGAAATCCATTTTTTTTACAACCGGTTCTGTGGGCGTGGCTTGGCTGTGGTGTGGCTTGGTAGGCGTGGCTTTGTGGGTGTGGCAGGGGAAAGATACTGCAAAAACTCCATTCCCACCCCACTCCAGGGAAGGATACTGGAAAATCACCATCCCCTCCCCACTCAGGGGCCAGCCAGAGGTGGTATTTGCCAGTTCTCCGAACTACTCAAAATTTCTGCTCCCAGTTCTCCAGAACCTGCTGGATTTCACCCCTGCTTCAGACCTAGAAAGAAGGCAATGGCATTTGCCAAAAACGTTGCCAGGAAAACAGCATGGATTTGTCCAATGGAGTTGCTAGGTATACCCACACACAAAATTCATATATCCAAATCCCAGACCATGGTTTACAAACCATGATAGCTAAGTTCATCTACTTTGAAACCGGTATGACTTCATGAAAAGTAAGAGTCTAGCCCTTGTGTCTAATTAGACGTACTTCCCTGTTAGTATACACAACAGTTTAGCCCACATAACCAGCAGGACGAATCCTTCCATTTCAAATGTGCCTTTAGTTACAGCCATGTTTTTCAAACTTGACAATTTTATGATGTGTGGGCTTGTCTATGGAGATTCTTAGTTATCCAGGTCATGGTTGTCCCAAAGGTGCTTTTTCAAGAGGCAACTGGATTTTCTGTTTTTTCTTAGAAGACGTTTCACTTCTCATGTAAGAAGCTTCTTCAGCTTCTTGGATGAGAAGCGAAACGTCTTTTAAGAAAAACCAGAAAGTCCAGTTGCCTCTTGAAAAAGCACCTTTGGGACGTTGTGTGGGCTTCAATTCTAATGCTGCCTGGGGAATTCTGGGAGCTTATTTCCACATATCTTACAACTGTCAAGTTTGAAAAACACTGGTTCTATCACTGCGTTTTTTTATTTACCAGCTGAGCTCTCATTTCTGGACTATCAGACTTTCCGTAGCTTGCCAAGAATCCTTATCAGTAAGCTAAACTCTGCATGTACTCCATCCACATTCCTTCACACACCTTTTCCTTTGTTCTCTTGCCAAGAAAGTTCCGGCTGCTGAGAAGCAGCTGGCATGAACTTTATTTTCAAAATGTAACTAATTAGATCAGTAGGATGTTTTATTTTCCTCTTTACAATAAATATGAGTTTAATTAGAAGATGTATTCCGGTTTTATTTTTCAAAAGTATACACAAGGAAAATGCCACGATCCAGGCAATTACCCCAGGAAGGTAACGGGGCTGATTGCCTCTGACAGGTTCATAGGATCTTCAATGGATTATATAGAGCAGTAGTCCCCAATCTTTCTGGCATCAGGGATCGGTTTCACAGAAGAAAACTTTTCCACAGACTGTGGATGGGGTGGTGGTGATGGTTTTGTGTGCAACCTAGACCTGTGCAATCACAGATGAAGCTTCACTTGCTCACCTGCCGCTTGTGTGGCCCTTTTCCTAAGAGGCCATGGACCAGTACTGTTGAGGACCCCAATATAGAGTACAGCAGCTTCTTTTTCAGGCACAGTGCTACACTTTTAATGACACCTAATAACTACCAAGTATATTTATACCTGAGTTCAGGCAAAAGCTACAGAAATCACTTCTATGGGAAAACCATAGAAGCCTGTAGTACAGTGTAGTACAGTGGGCTAAAGCACACTGTTATTAACATCTGCTGCTTGCAATTACTGCAAGTTCAAATCTCACCAGGCTCAAGGTTGACTCAGCCTTCCATCCTTTCAAAGGTAGGTGAAATGAGGACCCAGATTATGGGGGCAATAAGCTGACTTTATAAATATACAAAAGTATGAAGGCTATTGCTTAACGCATTGTAAGCCGCCCTGAGTCTCCGGAGAAGGGCAGCATATAAATTAAAGAAAAAAGAAAAACCAAACCAAACACTTTCCCGGTGTTGTTATTATTACATTTTCCCTTAAAGCTAGACTTTCATTTTCCAGCATCAAACAGAAGCAAGCAGCCTTTGGAGACAACAGTTCACAAAAAAAGTATGCTGTAATAAATATTAGTTTTTAAAAATCGTAAGAGTCTGTGTAGTTTTTGCTGCTTAATTTCCCTCTGGAAATATTTGTAGATGCTGTTATAAAACAAAAATAAGCAAATACTATTGTAAAACAGCTTTTTTAAATGAGAATTGACACATATTTTTAACAGAGCAAAGAAATAATCTCAGAATTAAATAAAAGCTTTAGGGGAAAAAGAACAACAGAACACCAAAGTTAAAAAACAATGAAGTGTCCTGTTGAAAGTTGATTTAGATCAGTGTTTTTCAAACTTGGCAACTTTAAGATGTGTGGACTTTAAGATACTATTCAGAGTTAAATCTTGAAGTTACCAAGTTTGAAAAATGCTGATCTAAAACTGTTCCCATGAAATCTCATAGGATACCCTTATAAAATTGTTTATTATGCTGCTGTTGCTCTTTAGTTGTTTAAATTGTTTCTTCAGTTGAATTAACTGGTTTTATTTTCTTATGACCATGTATTGTTGGATGTTTTGTAGAAAGGACAGATATACATTTCCCAAAATAAACATAATTGTATTGGATGTGGAACTCATATTTCATTTTTCTGTAGTTGCATTTCCAACTTTTTATATCACTCTGTTATCTGATCAACCTCAAGCTTTCGAGGAGAACTCTTTTGGAAATGAAGGGGTGTTCTCTAAAGCTCCCCTCCATAAAGAGAATGTCTAAAGGCTTTAGAATCAGATTCATGCCTATGCACATTTAATATGTATTTTATGTTTACCAGCATTCTCAGTCCACTTCATTTTATTGCTTTTATACGTATAGATAGGCATGTTTGTTTTCCAGAAAGGATACGGTATATTCACAACTTTTCTATAAGGTAGGTCTGAGAAAAAGTGGTCAAAATCCCACACATAATCCATTCCTTCTATTGCTCTAACCATTACACCACATAACGGCATATGAAATATTGTTCATGATCCCATAATTAGTAATCTTTCAGAATCTGGTTTTAAATCCAGGGCTTCAGATGAAACCCTTTACATGACACTGAGTGACAGATCTTTTACATCTGAAAGCAGAGTGTTCAGATAACTTTGAAATAAAGAAGATCATCCTGAATAGATTTAGCCTAAAGGATGGGACCTACGAAGGTGAAGCCAATAGCCCAGTGGTTATCAACCTTTTCTTCACCATGGACCCCCAGTTAAATACATTTCGTGGCCATGGACCCCCAAGACTCAAGATTTAAATCACAATATTTCTTCAAGCCTTCACAGGCCTTCTGTGACAACATTGTGGTCCCCCAAGGTGTCTGTGGACCACAGATTGAGAACCACTGCAATAGCCCATTGTTCTGCCTAGCATCTTTAAAGAACAGTCTTAGGCAGTTCTTAGACATTTACATTTCTCTTTAATATATGTAAATTCATGTGCTGCTTTTACATTTCTCAGGGGGAAAGCACATTTGCTTTTTAATTTTTAGCAGTGACATTTTTAAACAGAACTACCGGAACAATCATGATGCAGTCCTATTTTTACCTGAAACTGAATCCCATTTCAGAAGGTGAATTGAATACTTTATTTGCCCAAGAGTGACTAGACACACAAGGAATTTGTCTCCGGTACAGAAGCACTCAGCGCTCATTTCAGAAGGTGCCAATGCAGGATGTCCTTTCCTGGCCTGGAACAAATGTTATGCTTCAAATAACAAGCACAAGCATAAATAAACGATGTCACTTTTATGAAGTTTTGGGCTTGTTTTTTATTGCAAACTTTCTTTTGGATAGGATTACATTTGTTCATCTTGAGAATATCTATTTTTTAAAAACAAATTACAGGGTGGAGTTTTCCTTTCTATTAGAGTACACAAATGAATAAAGGAGTTTATTTGGATTTCCCAACCTGGTGATCTCCAAGTGCTGTAACAAGAACAACCTCACCCCATATCTTCTCTTCCATATCTCATCTTACTTACAGTTTGTTCCATATGAAAACCCCAAGTTACAAGCCCATGAAGTCTCGACCAAGCACTCCCATCACAAAATGTTCAAATTTCCTTAGTTTAATCATTATTTGAAAGCATTAGATTCAGGAGAAAATTACCTAAGAGAAAGTCCAACTTTCCTGATAAGCCAGTGGCTCTTAACGAAAGCCTTTGGTGGTTTGACATGGAGCAGCATCTATCAGAGATCTTTCAGCATGAATGAGCCAGCAGTGCAACTGATACTCATAGCTGTTCAGGGACTTGTGGTCTGAGGCTTAATGTATCCAATTACCCCAAACCCCTTTGCACCATAGCTCTTCCCATTGTGCACATGTTTCCAGGTTATTCTGGCTGACTTGTCCATAACATAGTGTTAGAAGCATTAAATATTTATTTAGATTTAGAATTATAGCCTTCATTTATTACCTTTTGCTACTTTGCATAAAATAATAATAATGAAGTAGCATAGATTATGAAAACTGGACCATAGAACTCCAGACATGCGTGGATACCCTCTATGCTCTGCATCTCATAACAATGTGCATCTACATTAGGAAGACTCATTACATTTGTACCTGAAGTGTGATTTATAATACAATGCCCGTTGTTAAGTATTTGCATCCTCCAACACAGTATAACACTATAGCAATAGCTCTTAGACTGATATGTTGGTTTATAGAGCTTTACAACCCTCTCTAAGCCGTTTACAGAATCAGCATATTGCCCCTCAAATCTGGGTCCTCATTTTACCGACCTCGAAAGGATAGGAGGCTGAGTCAACCGTGAGCCACTGAGGATCAAACTGATGGCAATCGGTTAGCCTGCAGTGATATATTCTAAACACTGCACCACCACAGCTCCTTCACTTTTTTGACCTTTTTGTGCAAAATACCAATGGTGACTTTTAAAAAAAGTTTTTGAGCCCTAGTCAGAATCAGAAATTCAGTCTGATCATCAAAAGGAAACCAAAGCGCTGTGGTGAACATGAAGATCTTAAGCTCAACAGCCCCAGCCCAGGGACAGAATTTGAGATGTTTTTCATGCAAAGCAGATATTTTACAACTAAATCAAGAATGTTCCCTCAGGTAGTGATGCTAGAACAATAAGTAAGGAGGTTTGACTGATTAATGGCTGCCTTAAGGAAGGAGGTTGTCAGCCCATAGTCATGATATACAAATGCAGCAGAAGTGTGGACTGCAAAAATGTGGGAATCTCTGGTTTTCCAATGTTGCTGAACCACAACTCCTAGTATCTTTCACCATCAGTTCTGTTGCTTAGGGTTGCTGGATATTATAATCCAACATCTGAACAGCCATATCTTCCTTGCTGTGTATCACAATGCTCTTAATGCTGGTCTCCTATATCTTTCTCTATATAGACATCAAAGAAATGTCTTTTTAAAAAAAGGAACAATTCTTCAAGAGGAAGAATGATCTTACATCACTGTGATACTGTACTTGTTTTCTCTTTTCAGGGAGATTTTGAAAAAAAAAATTATATCTTTCATCTCCTTCATGAAAGCCCTTCCAGAACTCTGCAATCTCATTCCCATCACACAGTAATACAATATACAATGAGAAAAAAACCCTGTCTGCCTTCCAAAAAGCAAAGATTTACACAGATAATCCTCATTTAATAACCCTAATTAGGAAGAGAATATCCTTCACTATGCAAAATGGCCATGAGGCACAAAAAAACATGTGATTGCACTGTTTAGCGACAGTAGTTTTGGTAGTCGTGGTTGTGGTTGACCTCACACTTCTGTGTGAGGGGAAAGCTCATTTCCATTTCAAGTCCTCCCCCCACTTCTCTCCCCCCCCATCTACCCTCTTGGCTGCCTTGCGCCGCCACCAGCCTGCACTCTGTTTACCCCTGCACCCTCGTCACCCCAGCTGACCTTCGCCATCTTTTTTCTCCCACTGCTGAGTCATACATGACTGGCCCTTTAAGAGGCAGCTGCTGGCTAGGCAGTCCCAATATTGGCTCAGAGCAGCAGGGGGCAGCAGAGTGCAGGGTCACCAAAGGGCAGAGATGGGAGAGAGAGAGAGAGAGAAAGGTGGGATGCGGGGGTGGGTGGGAATTGAAGCTCACATTGTGGTTATAAACGTGGGTGAACTGCCTGGTGCCCAAATTTTGATCAAGTGACTGCTGGATGCTACAATGGCAGTAAATCTGAGAACCGATTGCAAATACTTATTTGCTCAGCATCATTGTAACTTTGAATAGTCATTAAGCAAGCACTACCTGAATGGAATTTGTGTGCTGCAAGGTGGGAAATCCGAGAGATACAATGTGCTGACCAGTTGGGAGAAGCTCTACCCATCCTTGTACCTGTGGTGAATTCTAGTGTCAGGCAAATGGGCATTTAGTGGGGGGCAGCAGAGCTGAGGAAGTCCATTGTTAAAGGAGATGGAATGTGGAAGCCATCACTGACAGAGCAACCTTGAGAACTTTAAGATGCGGGCACTTCAACTGGGGGATTGACTGGCAGGGTTGGCAACTCTGGGAGTTGAAGTCCATGCAACTTACAGTTCTCAAATTGAGAAACACTGTGAAAGATCAGCGTTTCTCAACCTTGGCAACTTGAAAACATGTGGACTTCTGGTCCCAGAATTCTGCGACTGGAAGTCCAGACATCTTCAAGCTGTCAAGGTTGAGAAACACTAGGATAGATGATGGAAGGTTGGGGTTTCTTGGTGTTGCAATTTCTTTGTAAAGGCATCCCAGGGGCTGGGCTGGTGAGGATGCTTCTATTGTTTGGCTTAGATGGACTTGCGGGGGAGGTTTGTCTGGGGCAAGCAGGTCAGTTTGGGTCTGATTAGGCAAAGAGATGAATTGGGACTGACGATGGTCATATCTAAAAGACAGGGAAGGAAAAGAGGGCGCAGCGTCCATTTTGTTTGACTGATTTTCTTCATTTCAGTGTCTTGTAAGTTAACAAGCCCACAAAAGGCTATGAAAGCTGAAATGGGCTGGCAAGTGAATGGGACTTGGCAAGTGAATGGGCAGCAGGTGGACAATACAGAGCTGAGCCATCACACAGCACAACAAAAATAAACATTCAGAGTCTGGCTCATAAGGGGGCCCAAATGCTTACAAATATTGTAGATTACCAGAAGCAAAAAAAAGGGGGGGAAGTTAAAATTTTAATAGCCTTCATTCTCCTTTTTCTTTTTTGTATTTAATTACTGTCAAATTTGTCTTCTTTTTTTCTTTTTCAATATGCACAAACAATATTAAGTAACAATACATTACTTTAATATACATTAAAGTGGAGACTTTAATACTAAGTAATGAGCTTAAGACCAAAACTTTATCATACAACAAATTCTTTGATACAACCTGCAATGGTTTTTAAACATTATATTCAATTCTGGATGAAAAAGCTAAATAATTTTATACTCACTAACACTGCAGTTTTAAATCATAATACTGATAATTTTTTTCTTTTTTAATTTTCAATGTCTGTTATCTCAACATAATGATGTTAATAATATTTAATCTATATTATACTGAATAAACAGCTTTATTAAAAAGATAATGCAAAATCTATGTTTCACAACCATAAAAATACTATTAAAAAACCCCACAGAACTGGGTTAACAAGCCTAGTCATAAAATATGGTCTACCAGTCACAACAGTTAGGTTCACACTTTTCAGTAGTAAACCAAAGAAATGATGTTTTAAAAAAACACTCCATCAAATTTGCATATGGACCAAAATTGGGTGATAGAACTAATACAGTAAAAAAAAAAACCAAAAGAAAATAAATAAAAATGCTTTTGATGGATTAGAGAAGTGAGGTGAATGAACAGTAAGGAGGACAGAAGGAATGGGGTAAGTTTAACCTTGAGAAAAGATTACTATGAGGGAAGGGTATAGAAGCACATTTCAAGTACATAAACAAACGTCACACAAAAGATGATCAAGAGCTGCTGTTTCTTATTCCAAGACATAGTACATGAATAATGGTTTTAAATTATGGAAAGCAAGAATAGTTTGATAGTGCAATCAATTATTAGGAAAAGGGGTGAGCTTGTCTTCACTGGATGTGATCAACCATTTGCCTGGTATGCTTTAAAGTGGATTTTGGATAGAACGAGGAGTTGGCCTTGTCATAGGTTCTTTTTTAAACTGTTACCAATTAGATTGACCCAGATTTAAGAGAAAAGCAATGGACCCTGAACTGGTGGTTTCATTATATCTCACTATAAGGATTGGGGAGAGATCTTATTTTGTAAAACAAACGTATGAAAGCGATATTCCAGTGCTTCCTATATTGTGTTGCTATCTGTATACCATTTACTGTTCAATTAATATTACTATGTCAATGCTTATACTACACTCCATACTATTACTACTCAATTATTATTAGTTATTATTTCATTACATATATATATATATATATATATTCTATACTACTGCTAGTGCGCATCAACAGTTCTTAAGACTGATTCTGTCTTGAGTCCCTTCTATCTGAGATCTTCTTTTTCTGTTAATGGCCAGCATGTAAAACTCCTCGACCTTTTATGTTGTTGTCTTGTCTTGCTGTGATACTACAGCTTCTTTCCCTCTGTTTTAGACTATCCAATACTTCTGAAGGGAAAAAAAATGCCTTCTTTCATTAGGCTACCGTAGTCTACTGTTTGTTCCAAAACACGCATCTCCTCTGCTCTCTTCCCAATCTTCTCCCACACCTGTTTTAAAGTTGCAGCTTTATTGGCAACTCCGCTATGTTGACGCTGGGGAAAAGGCTCAACTCGGAGGAAAAGAAAGGCAGAGGCCAGGCGCCTGCAATTTTGCTAAGCAGCCTGTTCATCCGCAGGCCTCCATGGCCTCCTCTGCCAATGCTTTTCTCTGCTGCAAAAATGACTACACGTCCATCGAGAGCCAAGCCCAATTCAAGAGAGTCTGACTCTGAACCATCAGAGCAACTGCTCGAATTGATAGCAAGTTCTCAGCCGCCCTGAGTCTTCGGAGAGGGGCGGCATATAAATTGAATTAATTAAATTAAATTAAATTAAATTCTCAGGATGTCCGACAGAGGAAGTCTTTCCAGTGCCCCTGCCTGTTAGGTGACAAGGTGGAAAATAAATGTGATTTTTCATCCTGTACTGTTTTGAATGCCAGAGCTCTGTTTCTGAACGAGAATACTCCCGCCACTTCTTCCAAGGCATCGAGAATCCAAAGATGGTTTAATCCCCGCTTTAAAAACCAACAAACCAACAAACACGACCCGCCTTTCACTCTCGATCCGTGCCCACATTAAACCTGGCGCATTTTGCCCGGCTTCCCTCTTGTCGCAACCCCTCCAAGGAGAGCACAAGCGTTAAAAGCTCTCGCCCGTAATGCCGCGTCCGAACTCGAGATGGCGCTCTTTTCTTCTCCTCTTCCCGTGGTTCAACTTCCAATTCCCCGGCCGCAAAACTCCGGGACAGAATTGCGAGGGGGAGACGGGAGGTTCACCGGACTTGTTGATCTCCGTTAAGAAACGAGGAGAGAGAGAGAGAGGGGGAAAAAAAAACATCAAGAGAAGGGAGAGGAATTGCCTTGAAGCGCTGCCCGGCTTCTTGATTCCCAGGGAGCCCGGGAACCCGTTCACACGTTCAGCGGGGTGGAATCTGAAGCTGAAGCCCGGGAGTTCCAAAGATCCATTGGAGGGCCCTGATGGGTTGTTTTTCCCCCCTCCTCCTTCTCAACCATCTACCTTTCGGGAACGAGCTGTAGGTTTGAGACTTGGGGGGGGGCACGTGACGCCCCTCCCCGTCTGCTCGGTTGTCCCGGGATTTGGTGCACGGAGGGGGGGTTTCCACCTCGCCCCCCCTTTCTCTCCCCGTCTGCCGCCACCTTCCACTCCGCCTCCCCGGCTCGCCAGGAAGATCCCCGCCGTGCCCGCTTTGCTGATCTCGCCTTCTTCGGCTGAAGCAGGATGTAGCTTCTGTCTACCCGATGTCCGCCTCTCCGCCGCAAGCCCGCTCCGGCGTCGGTCTGGGGTCGTGGGAAAGGAAGTAAGTGGCGAGGTGAGAGACGGTGGCGGGTGGGGGAGGGAAGCGGAGAAATTTGGGGGGCAGCGGCGGAGGGGGAGAGATCCCGCGATCGCTCGCCGTGGGGAGCCGGGGATCTCGCCTCATGGCTAGGCGGGCCGCGGGAAATCTGGGGCTGGGAGAGGCTTGGAGGGTTTTCTGCTCCTCCGGAAGGACCGCTGGATCTTGTGGCTGAGGCCATCTGGGAGAAAGCAACAGCGCGAGAGGAAGGGTGGAAGGCAGGCAGGCAGGCAGGCAGGCGGGCAGGCATCCCGGGGTTGACGGCGTTTCCAAATATATACATATAAATATGCATACATGCACACATGTATATTTTGTTGTTATGACGACTCTCTCATTCGCCGGTGGTGGTGAGGAAGGATTTCTCTCCTTCCAGAGATCGATAGGGAGATATGCAAATCATTGTTTTCATTAAGCTAAAACTCAGTTTAGCTTCTCCCTGACATGCTAGCCTAATTGCTCCCTCCACCATTGCCAGGTTGTTTGGCACCACTGAGCTGATGGCCTCACACCCCGTTTGCCACAAATGCATTTATGAATCCCCCCCCCCCCATACACACATATACACACCCCTTTCCATCATGGCTCTCCTTTCAACCCCTGCTGGATGCAGTCTCCTACAAATTTAAGCAGAATGATTTAGCTTTTGTCTTCCTCCCACTATACCGTATTAGAATTTTAAAAATCCCATCTCCCCCGTTTTATGCAAGGCGTTACAAACCTTTTAATAGCACATTATTCAAAAGCCTGTCTCTCCTCTCCGCCCTGATGTTTTGTCATCCCCTGAGCTACCTGTAGGCCAATCTTTAAAATAGGTAACCTTCCTTAACTGAGATGGGTTGGGTAAGGATGTTTAAAGTACTGGAGGGGGTGGGGAGATGGATGGTTTTCTGTATGCACATTATGGGCCTCTGTGTGTGTGTCTCTCTCTGTGTGTGTGTGTGCACACAACATGTGTCTGGGGGTTTGTTTTGACTGCAACCAATGCCGTTGCATTGAAAAGCTACCACTTCCAGAGAGTAGGAATATAACACTGTGAAAGTACCATGGTTTTCTTCTGTGTTAAGATGTTCTTCATGTAGAAGGAGGGCTATGTAAGTTTTAAAAGCAAGGTTGCTAATAAATGTACTATTGTAAATTGTTAATGCCAGCCTGGACTGCTACAAAAAGATGAGAAGCGCACATGGAGGGAGCAAAGGGGAAAATGTCCATTTTGCTTTAAATTGTTAAATATAATCTGTTCACTGTTTAAAACATAATTCATCCCTTCTGGAAAGGAGAACTTATGTGGAAAATGATAGCTGAATGCATAGGTGAAATGAGTAATGCTTTGATATTTTAGAACTAGCGAATACAAAAATACATATTGACATTTCAGTCTGAAAATGCATGCATTTTAGTGGACATGTTCAGGTAGATTCTTTGAAATCTGTAGATAAAAGTTGGTGTACAGTTTATGTCAGCATTATTGCAAAATCTTCTGTCCCTCTCCCAGGGAAAGTATAATATAGCATATAATGTGTTTTCTTAAGATTGTATACGAAAAAGTACATATTTGAATAATGGAATATACAGTTTGGAATTTCCTTATATTTTTCTATGACATATATACTTTATGGGTAAAGATGTTTAATGGTTGGCCTTTCTGGATAAAACACTGAAAATCATATTACCTCAGGGTAGTAAACTAACAGATCCTTTAGCTTGTTCCATAGGCCTAATTTCCTACACATCCTTTTCCCAAAGCCCAAAGCTTCTAATGATAATAGAAAACATCCTATCAAGAAACAAGCTTCTGCTTAGAACCTCTGCTTATATGTGTCCGTGAGGGAACTGCAAAAGGACAGAAAGAGGCTAACTGGCATTAAAATGACAAATGTTAACATGGCTTGAATGATTGGCCAGGGTAACACTTTATGCGCTTATCTGTTCAAACATGTCCACAAATTTATCTTAATTTTTAATCTAAAAGGAGGATAGGTAAAAATGAAATATGACTATAGAATGCTTTTGAGAAAGTTGAAATGAATTAAAATGGATGCTGGACTTATGAGGATGATCTATCTTTTCCAGAAAGACATAGCACAGATATTTGTGCCTTTGGGAGAAGATATGTAAGGAATTTGTCTTCAGCACTTTAGGTAGTGGACAGCTCCCTGTCACTAAAATGTATGGAATTGGACAAAGTCTGTACTAAGGTTTTGTTAACTCAGTCCCTAAAAACCCTATTAGCATCCTCTCCCTTCAGTTCACTTTCTTTAGGACTTTTTGTTCAGTTTCAGCACCATGACACCGAACAGCAGCCTGTGCTCTTACAGTCAATCTCCTGTCTCTGTTGCTCCTTCCAGCAAACTAACCAAGCTATTTGTATATCTCCCTGGTTAATTGAACAAACAGGCAGTTTGCAAACAAAGGAAGAAGCTTTCCATTTAATTTGCTGAAGTTACCAGTAATTCTGTGGATTATTTTCTTTACAGGCATGGAGGAGCAGGAAAACAGATGAAGAGAACCTGTCTGGAACCTTGAGAGCCCAGGAACCACTTGTCAGCCTATTTCAGTCTTTTTAAAGATAAGCAATGCCTGCAGGCATGAATAAACATGGATCTCGATCTACTACCTCTTTGCCCCCGGATCCCATGGAGATTGTCAGGAGCAAAGCTTGTTCCAGAAGGGTCAAGCTTAATGTGGGAGGCTTGGCACATGAGGTTTTATGGCGAACCTTGGACAGGTTACCACGGACAAGATTGGGTAAACTCAGAGATTGCAATACTCATGAATCCCTGATGGATATATGTGATGACTATAACTTGGAGGAGAATGAATATTTCTTTGATAGGCACCCGGGGGCATTTACTTCTATCTTGAACTTTTACCGCACGGGCAAGTTGCACATGATGGAGGAAATGTGCGCCTTGTCCTTCAGCCAAGAACTGGACTATTGGGGAATTGATGAAATTTATCTAGAGTCTTGTTGCCAGGCAAGGTACCACCAGAAAAAGGAACAGATGAATGAGGAGCTCAAGAGAGAAGCAGAAACCATGCGTGAAAGGGAGGGAGAGGAATTTGATAACACTTGCTGTGCAGAAAAGAGAAAAAAACTCTGGGACCTTTTGGAGAAGCCCAATTCTTCTGTAGCAGCCAAGGTAATATCCAATCTATCCATTTTTGATCTGTGATTGATAGGGCTAGAAAGATGGCACTTCACATTTTCAATTGTACCTTCCTGGTGATTGCCCCTGGCTATTTTTGATGTACAAAGAGATAAGAAAAACTCAGTGATGGTTTAGTTCTTTAAGTGCTTATGTTTTTCATCTTGGCAGGGAATTGTGTTCTGCAATTACCAGTATTTTTAAAAGAGGTTTCTTTGCAACAGTTATACAGTAGAAATAGGATTGATATTGCCTTATTTTAGAAGGTTCATTCAGAATCCCAGCCTAACCTTGGAATTATGTGGAAATCTCTCATCTATATAGTAACCAGATTTAATCCTACTCAGCTTTTAGAGTCAATCAATGTCATCTAGGTACTGCTGTGTAGCAATGAAGTGAAGTTGTTGAAACAAAGGCAAAAAAATTCCCTATGAACATGTCCAATTATGTGAAAATGTGACATAATCTCTGTTTGATTAGAACGTTGTTGTTATGTTTCCTTTCATTACTTAGGAGGATTAGGGATTAAAGCAATTTTCATATTCAATTTTCATTTTGGCAATCTATAAACCTTGTTTTGTTTTCAATAGATTTCCAATAGATACCTTTTTCTAATTCTAAATCCCCCACTCCCTTCTAATATATTTGTGCAGGTTTTGATGATTTCATTGTAGAGGAAGTCAGAAACCTCTAAGAATTCCAAGCTGCCTCTTACTATGGCTGGGTGTAGTTTGAAGATGATTCTGAAAAGGTGCTGTACATAGATAGAGCCTTCTGTATCAGCCTGAAAAAAAAGATGCCACTATTTTAAGGAGTTTCCTTAGAGTAATTGACTGCATCATTGGAAGCCCTTTGAGACAGGCCAGGTCAGAAAACAGACACCCCATTGATTACAGGAATTTGACTTTATTGTTGTACACTATAATAACAGAATCTTGAAAATCTGCCAATTTACCTTTGGCCTCACTTATACCAACAGAATCAAAGCAGGGTTGTTTTGAATTTCTTCCTCACGTTCTCTCCTTCCTCAGAATTAAGTTGTCATGTATTTTCTCTTAATGATTTTCCTAATGACTCTTGTATTCCTATATCAAGGTTATCTCTGCACCCTATTATACTCAGTTGACATGGTCGAGAATTCAGTTAGGACTATGCTTGCTTTGAAAATGATTTAAAGAAGTACTTTAGAGTTTGCACAAGCATTGCATCTCTCTATTACTAATTAAAGCAGCCACTGCTTTTTTTGGGTGTGTGTGTGTGTTTACATGAGCCTAAAAAAATGCCACAGCTATAGCTATAAAGCTATAAAAGGTCAAATCATTAAAGCAACTTGATTTTTTCATACTTAACATGGAAGCCTGGAAAAAGATATGACTGTTTCAATGAATACCAAAAAGAAAGGTCCCAAATACTTCTTTCAAACAGATTTTGAAGGGTGCATTGTCCTACCCCATTATACAGCTTGCATTGAGGCCACCAGGCACATTTCTCTCATAGATACTCTTGGCCATTATCTCAAGTTTTGAATCCAAAATTTTTTAAAAAAATTTTTTGTTTAATTATCTTGAGGTCCCACTTGGTAGAAAGCTGGGCTAGCTGGTCTTTTGGCTGAGGAATGAACTGTTGAAGACCTGGAGTCCAGCGGTGAAATCCGCCCTGTTCTATCTGGATTGCCGAACCAGTAGCGCTGGCGGCAGGAGGCTCAGCTCACCCTCTGGGACGTCATTACGTCCATTTTTTTACCTTCTGCGCATGTGCAGAAGAGGTGCGTGTGCATACACGTAGCGCACACACGCTCCTGCGCGCCCCTGTTCCCGAACTGGTAGCGAAAGTAAGTGGATTTCACCGGTGCTGGAGTTCCATTTGTGGCCCAGCTGCTTCACAGTCTAAGTGAAAGCACAACAAAAAACGGATAGTTCAGGTGGTCATGAGAAGAAGACATGACATTCAGTGAGGGTGGCTTTTAGCAGAGCTTTTACTTTTCCTGAAAATTATCCCAGGTTCCACCCTTGACATCTCTGTTTTAAAAAGGAATTGCAACAGTGAAGCAGGTTGTGGCTAAACCTGAAAAGCCTATGTCAGGCATAGACTAGAGGTACATCTTTTAACCTTAGAAGATCAGATGGCCAACAGAGCCTTGGGTTACACTTCTAGAATCTTCCAAAAGTTGTTGCCAAATTATGACGAAGGGGAAAGCTATTTAATACATGATCCTGTTACCGTACTTGCATTTAACTAATTGCTAATTGTAATTAATTAACTAATTACATTATATGAAATTGAGTGGAATTAAGTCCAATGTTATATTTGTCCTAGCTAGGCCTACTGTTTGGACTATGATCCTATTAAATTAAGTGGCAGCCCTTGGCTTGAAAAGGATGCGCAGTTCTGATTGGAGAATATTAAAAAAATCCTGTCAACTTTAATGCAAAGCAATGGTCCTATAAATACAGCAGCATTTTTAATGACCTTGTAATCCCTTGCATCGGAGTGGAGTCGGGGCGACTGAGCGTTTACTGACTGGATGCCCTTCCTGATCCCTATGTGGAGTTCACAGCAGATATTTTCCTCTTTGCACCCAGAGAGCAATTAATTCACTGAATTCCAAATGTCCTTAGTAGGGACCCTTACCTTTCCCTGATTTTATAGATTTTCATGATGTGTAATAATTTCCAAATCATTTATAAAGTGTAGTGGACCTGGAGACTTGGAGATGTGTAGCTTTGTTCAAGCCCTCAAAGATCTGTATACACATACAATTCTGCCAAGTTAGAACTTCTACTAACAACTTTTTATATCCCATCCTAAGGAACTTAAATCCAATATTCATGCAAACTACATCGTTTCTAAAAGGATGTCAGTTTATATAAATCTTCTTTATGTTAAGAATATCTAGAAACCATAATTCAATCCCCTCTCTCTCTGGTGTCTGAGATAGAAATATTAATTTACACCTCCTTTATATATATAAATACAGAACATATGTATCAAAGGATACTGCAATTATCTGTATTGGTACCGCTCAGCAAAATGCAATCTGAAAAGCCATATTTTACATTCATTTACTTATTCTTTCTTCCATGGAAAAGGGGGGGTTGCTGGAAAGATTAATGCTAAAAAAAATCACTATCCTACTTGGCAGCTAATTAAATATTTCATGCTGCTATAGAAGCTACATGTTACCACTAGCAACAGCATGCCTGCAAAGAAACTGGGCACAAATATGGAGACTAATACCGGCAACATGTAATTATTAAAATTGGCAAGTATTAAGATGGTCAAATATCAGGCTCTTGTAGAAAAGCAAGGATTTTGAAATAGACTTCAGGGTAATCCAGGAGATTCTTGGAAGCTTGTCAAGTATCACTCTACGGCTGAATTTGCACAACACATTAGGCTAGGCATTAGATGTGCTATGGTTCTGCATTTACTTATTTCATGTATTTAGCAGTGTTTGTAACCTGTCCAATTCTGGAGATCTCTGGTGGCACACTGCAAAATACAGAGAATAGAAATGTGTAATTGTAAAACCCCAAAATTAAATGTAGATGAACACCCCCATTCAAAACTACGAAGGGCCATGGCTGCACTGATATAATACAGTGTGACTTGCTTATAGAATATTAACAAGGTGGGAGTTGAATGTAAATTGGGGTTGCCATAAAGAAGACCCATACTCCACAAACCTGATAGGTAGGGTCTTTCAACAGGATCTTTCTAGATGACCAGACCAACTGACAGTTTCTGTTCTGGCAGAGCATGTTGTACAATCAGGCCACTATCTTAAGCCATAATCTATTTTTTTTTTTGATTGGGTATGACATGTCATGTAAAGATTGCAGGTGTTCAGTTAACTTACCAGGTTTAGGATTTGACATGTGATCTCATCATTGTGGAGAAAATTTATGTATTCACTAAGAGTTGGAAATAGCTTGATGGCACATAATTAATCAATTAATCAAGGAACTCTGTCTCAGTTTCTAATGATAGAAGCAAAGAAACTTTTTTTCCTGGCTGGATTCCCACAGTGTGCTTAACTAGGTCGATGAGAAACCTGGCAGAAGAGAGAAAGAGCCAACTTAAGTGTTACCTGACTCCAGACTGACTCTGGAGATGAGCAAGGTGGGAAATCTGGCCAAACAACACTAAAACATACACAAAACATAACTGGCAAAAGATTCTGTTCTCCCTTGGACCAAGGCTTGGGAGGACAGAGAGTGCTTTATGGCTTTCCAGGATTCCACCGGGACTCAAATAGAGGTTTCGTATGTATATATGGGTTTATTTTTGTCTTAACATGTTGTCCAAACAAAGCTCATTTGGTGTGTTTTGCTAATATATTGCACTGCTTAAGTTAAGCATGATGTGCTAATGTGGCCATAGTCTCAACCTGTTAGGTGAGGATTGGTAATACTGAAGGTCAGAGCATTCCAGGATGTCAGATAGAAGGTTACCCAGGTACATCTATGAAAGGTGAAGTGGAAAACTCTTCCACTCTGAATTTTTCCTGTTTTCCACATAGCTGCCTGCTCATCATTATCTCCACTCCTTTCCATGGTGCATCACTAGAGATGTGATCTAGGGATCCCGCTGAGTTAAGAGATGATGGTGATGAGATCCAAGCAGATTTGGATGCCTTGGGAATGCCTTGGGGAGAACAACATGTATCCCAGAGGCAGGATTTGACTGTGTTACTTAAAAGGCGTTTTGCCAGACTGATGACTTCAGTGTTTTGTGTAGAGTGAAAGTTGGAAAACCAATGCAAACCAAACAATAGATCTGAAAGTTGAACTGGTTCTCTTGGTCCCTACCACCAGCCAATGGAGTCTCCTAGAAATACAGTACATATCAATACATTCATGTGAAAAGCCTACAAAGCATTCTGGGAACTGAGATTCTTTGACTTGATGGGACAATATTGAAAGAAAAAAATGTTTTTCTTTGTTCTGGAAGTCATGTCAAAGATTTAGGGGTCTTTGGTGTGCATTGGGAAA